TGCTTCCAATGTCAGAGATATGGCCACGGCTCGCAAAGCTGTCGTGGCCGGAAAACTTGTGCTCTGTGTGGAGTTGTGGGCCATGCGTCCGACAACTGCGAAGCACCTGCACACTGTGTGAACTGTGGTGGTAATCATGCCGCGTACTCACGTTCCTGTTCTTTCTGGAAAAAAGAAAAATAGATCATCACTTTAAAGATAAAAGAAAACATTACATTTAAAGAAGCAAGAAAAAGAGTCTCGCCATTTTATAGCCCCACATATGCTGATGCGGCGTGCCAGGGGGCAGTGTCGCACCAGCCCTCGCCACTCCTTCGGCCTGCGCAGAGCGAGCCATTGGCTGTGGTGCCTGCTCCCAAGGCGGCAGTAGTTGAGTCTACTCCGCCTGCTATTGAACAGAGACCAGAGACTCCAGGGTCCTCGGGTCTCAAGGCCTCCCCTCGCCAGGCGAGGCCCAAGCTTCAAAAAACCAGCTCGCATGAGCGGGCATCCAGTGCCTCCGAGGAGGCAATGGATACGGCGGAACCCCTGGTGCCAAAAGAACGGCGCGGCTCTCTGGAGCGCGTCAAGAGAACTGAAAAGCTTATAACAGGGCCTGATAATAGCCCTGTTACTTGAGCTCAACCTTTCAGCTTAAACAAGTCACTCCCTTAACGTACACACAGCACTACTTTACTTCCAATATGGAAACACAAATTATACATTGGAACGTCAGAGGACTGCTTAAGAACCTCGACTACGTACAAGAGCTTTTATACAAACACTCGCCTCAAGTGCTGTGTGTACAGGAAACACACCTAAACTCCTCCAATGCAAATTTTTTACGTGCTTACGTCGTATACCGAAAGGACCGAAATGATGCTGTGGCGTCATCCGGTGGCGTAGCCATTATTATTAACCAAGGAGTAGCGTGTACACATTTACCACTCCAGACATCCCTTGAGGCGGTGGCTGTTCGAGCGGTACTTTTAAACAAACTCGTCACCATCTGCTCTTTGTATGTACCTCCCCACCACCGTCTTGAAAGACGTGAATTTCAGTCTTTAATAGACGAACTGCCCGAACCTTATTTGCTTCTTGGGGACCTAAATGCACTTAGTGGACTGTGGGGTGATTCTCGCTGTGATGCACGAGGTCGTCTCATTGAACAATTTCTCTTCTCTTCCGGTGCCTGTTTGTTGAATAGGAAAGAGCCAACATACTATAACGTTGCCGACAAAACTTACTCGTCTATAGACCTCAGCATCGTATCACCTTCACTCCTACCCCTACTTAAATGGAAAATCATAAATAATCTATATGGAAGTGACCATTTTCCTGTAGTGTTGAGTTCACAAACAATATATGAATGTCCTCTACATGTTCCCAAATGGCTGATAAACAAAGCAGACTGGGAACAGTTCCATAACACCACACGTTTGAGTTGGACAGACATATGTAGGTTAAACATAGATGAAGCTGTGCAGTACTTCACAGCTTTTCTAACTGACGCAGCAGCCAAGTGCATACCGCAAACATCTGGAATGCCCGGCAAACGACACGTCCCATGGTGGAACACAGAGTGTCGTAATGCGCAAAAGGAACAGAACAGGGCATGGAGGTTGCTTCGGAACTCGCCAACAGCCGAAAATATTGACACCTTCAAGAAAATAAAGTCTCAAGGCAGGAGAACGCGTCGGCAGGCCAGAAGAGAAAGCTGGCAGAAGTTTTTGTCAGGGATCAATTCATACACACAGGAGGCTAAAGTCTGGAACATGGTCGGTAGGATAGCAGGAAAACAAGTACACACACTTCCACTCGTAAACACTCAGGGTGATACCTTGGAAGATCAGGCAAACTTCCTCGGTGCACACTTTGAACGGGTATCCAGCTCGTCCCACTATAATGACACTTTCCAAAAATACAGAACAAGAATAGAAAAGCAGAAACTAGAACACAAATCCACTAGATACGAGGCATATAACCAAGCTTTCAGTCTAGCTGAGCTCCGAACATCTCTAAACTCCTGCAGTACTTCTGCCCCAGGTTCTGACCGTGTGCTGTATGAAATGTTAAAAAACCTACCAGCCGAAACACGAAAAACCTTACTTTGTACAATGCTATCTGGTTTTCTGGCACTATCCCTACCTCCTGGAAAGAGGCTATTATTATTCCCATTTTGAAAGAGGGCAAGGACCCTCCTTTAGCTTCAAGTTATAGGCCTATTGCACTTACAAGCTACTTGTGCAAAGTCTTCGAAAAAATGATAAACTGCCGACTTCTACATATCCTTGAAACAAACAATTTGCTCGACCCATTTCAGTGCGGGTTTCGAGAAAGTAGATCCACCACAGACCACCTTGTTCGTATCGAGGCACAGATCAGAGACGCCTTCGTCCATAAACAATATTTTCTCTCTGTGTTCCTCGATATCGAAAAAGCTTATGATACAACATGGCGTTTTGGAATTCTAAGAGACCTGTCCCACCTTGGTGTGCGTGGAAGAATGTTTCATATAATCGAAAGTTACCTGTCAAACCGGACATTCCGTGTCCGTGTGGGCATTGTTCTCTCCCAAACATTTGTCCAGGAAACAGGCGTGCCACAAGGTGGTGTGCTTAGTTGCACACTTTTTATTATCAAAATGAATTCTTTGTCCTTGTCCATTTCCCGCAATATGTTCTATTGTACATATGTCGACGACGTTCAGCTTGGCTTCAAGTCATGCAACTTGGCAATGTGTGAGCGGCAGGTTCAGCTGGGTTTAAACAAGGTCTCCAATTGGGCAGATGAAAACGGATTTCGACTTGACCCACAAAAAAGCACGTGTGTCTTGTTCTCTCGAAAGAGAGGCATGCACTCGAAACCTGACATTCGACTGAACGGGCAACGTCTGTCCGTCCAAGCCGAGCATAAATTCTTAGGCTTAATCTTGGACAACAAGTTGACCTTCGTACCGCACATCAAGTATTTAAAAACAAAATGTTTAAAAGCCGTGAATGTTATAAAAGTGTTGTCACGTACTACTTGGGGTAGTGATAGGCAATGCCTCATGAATCTGTATCGAAGCCTCATTCGCACCCGCTTAGATTATGGGGCCGTTGTTTATCAGTCTGCAACTCAAAGTGCTTTGAAGATGCTGGACCCCGTGCACCATTTGGGCATCCGCCTTTCTACGGGTGCTTTTCGCACCAGCTCCGTAGAAAGCCTTTATGTTGAGTCAAATGAGTGGTCGCTTCATCTGCAGAGAACTTATATGTCCTTTGTTTATTCCCTTAAGGTGAAAGCAGATAAGAAGCACCCCTCATACTCTACTATTAATGATTTGTCGAGCTCGTTTCTGTTTCAAAACAGGCTTTCGATGAGGCAGCCCTTCTCAGTTCGCCTGAAAAGTCTAGCTGAGGAAACTAAGGTCTCACTTGAACACAGTTTAATGGCTCCTGTAGCATATCCGCCACCGTGGCAATGGCAGACTATAGACTGCGATGTGTCCTTTCTAGAAGTTACAAAACATGCGCCTATTGCCCATATCCGAACATACTTCCTGGAACTTCAACACAAATACACACGTCCTGAGTTCTTTACAGATGCCTCCAAGTCCAACTCCTCTGTGTCCTACGCTGCTGTCGGCCCATCCTTTTCGGATGCTGGCCCTCTACATCCAGGCACAAGTATCTTCACAGCGGAAGCTTACGCGATACTTGTGGCAGCTAAACACATCAAACAATTACAAATACAAAAAGCAGTAATTTATACAGACTCCCTCAGTGTGGTAACGGCTCTGCACAGTGTTAAACAACAAAAATACTCGGTCCTTGTCTCACTTTACTCCATTTTGTGCACACTCTACACACTCAAACAACATGTTGTAGTGTGCTGGGTGCCAGGGCACCGTGAGATCCAAGGCAACGTGAGGGCGGATCAGCTCGCTGCATCCGTCCACAAAAGCACTGCTCCTACACCCATATTAATCCCGGCCCTTGATCTTAAGCCGTCTCTCAAACGAAACCTCAGGGACTACTGGCAGAGAAAGTCGGATACACACACAAAACAAACTACACATTATTAAGCCACACCTTGGTCATTGGCTGCCAGTATCAAAATCGCGTCATACAGAGGTAATACTAACGAGACTCAGGATAGGACACACATACACGACACACACATATCTTTTGTCCGGTGGCAATCCACCATTGTGTGACAGATGTGGTGAAGCGTTAACAGTCCTTCACATGTTAATTCAGTGCAAACACTTGGAAACTCTAAGAAAACAGCATTTTCCACTATCCTGCCGACAACATATACCTTTACACCCTGCAATGTTCGTTGGTAGGGAACTGCTCTTTAGTTATAAATCATTGTTAGCGTTTTTAAAAGAAATTCATAACTTTTATATCGTATACCCGGGCATTCCGTAGCACGACCTCTCCAGAGAGGTTTTCGCTGTGGTGGCTACACAACAAAGCACTTGCCTCACGGCCCTTGGACGCAAGGGTATGAACGAGTGAGGCACTTGTGCTAATGCCGTACATGTCCACCATCGTTTTTATTATCACCAACTTTGGTCATCTATTCGCACCACACACACCTTTCACGGCATGGTCATGATTTTATTACTTGTATGTTTTTACCCGCCTTACTGCAAGGAATTTTATGGCCCTTATACAGCCGCTAATCACAATCATTGTCCACATTCCTTGTCCCATGAACTGGCGCTCTTTGGCCATCAAATGGCCCTTGCGCCAAAAAACACCATATATCATCATATCTGAATAACCCGTTACCCATTATGCTTCCATGTAATTTACTGGAATCGATTTTGTACACCAATAAAAGATCTATTGTGGTGATGTAGCTAGCACCACCGCTGTATTTTCCTGTGCAATATTTTAATGCCATGAGCTTTTATGTCCACAGGCTGTTAGTAGTTAGTGACAAATGTGCTGTGGCAGGTCATCAAGAAAATAATTATCTGTTTGCCCAGCTCAATAATAATCATTCCACGGATATCTCTTTGAAAGGACCAAGATGACATTGTGCCTGGTGATGACTGGCAGAACAAACTGAATGATGCCATCCAAAACTGTACAATATTTGTTCCCTTGGTGACTGCGAGATATGGAAACACCACGTACACTAATAAAGAGGTATGTGATCGCGTTAATGTATTTCTTTTTCCTAAATTCCTGCTCATCAGTTAAGTGTCATTTGCTTCTTTCAGATACCTTGTTCAGTGATAAGTCAGCTAAGGTGATCACATTTGGGAGCTTGCAGGTTGACAGCACGAGATATAGTCATCTGCTTATTACATGCTTTCGTTCAATATTGTAGTGATGAAACATCGTTTGCCTTTATCACTGGCAGCCTTCACAAATGTCTGTGTCAGGGCATGCCTCATAGTTGCTGTGATAAAGACAAGTCTACCTGTCTCCAGCGGGATTAGTTTTGTAGCGAGAGCTGCATTGGCCGTATTCCCACCATTTCGGTGCGGCTGGTGGCTGCACCATGAGCTGAGCCGCTGCCTAGCTACCACCGCAGCTGGTAGCGCTGCTCGCCGCGCCATCTGGCATGAAGTCAGAGGAAGAGCCAGTGAAGCTGTGTTGCAAGAGCAGAGAAACTGGCGTTGCATCGTACGTATAGAAGGGGCGGCTAGGTGGGATTTCTTGACAGATATGGAAAGTGAGACTGAGAGACTGAAAGGTGCCAGGCTTCGTCGATGGAACAAAACCAAGACGAGGCAGCGAGCTGAGGAGACAGAATAACAATGAAGCCGAACGCCTCGAGGAGTGTAATCATATAGAGAACGAAGCTGAACAATCAGATTAACCGTACTCTCTCTCGGCACCAGTGTTCAGTTATATTTCATCACTTCAGCCCTTTATCACTTCTCTTGAACTTTTCTTTGATTTATTTTACTTTAAGTGGCATTGCTTGTGATAAGAATGCTTGAATGACTAAATGATTGCTTATTAAGGACATCGATGTTGCTTTGTTTGTGTCATGTTCCCTTTGACCACTCTCAACCGGTGGAGAATGTCATTTCTGCACTTATAGCAGACATCTCTGTAAACTAGTTTGCGATTAATGTTAGTGATGAATTGTTACACCTGAAGGTCATATGAAGCAGTATTTTCTGCTTCATACGGTGCCTGTGATGATTAATTTTTCAAAGTTTATTGTGCGAATGAGATATTTGCCCTTGGCAATTAGGATAGATAAGCTTCTTGAGCTGAGTTACTTTAAGTGGCTGGTTTTACTTAGTTTGACAAATAAATGACATTTCACTGAAGAATTTGTTAATAATTCTTTGGGGCTTTTGTTATATTTCATATTTTAACAACTTTAGCGATGTACCTTTTTTACACATTACATCGAAGCATAGAGTAGAACATCGAAACTGGAGCTTTGATATATTGTTACACATTTTAAAAAATTCATTTATCAAAAGTGGCACTGTTTTTCAGAATCTCATCGCAATTGAATATATTCTGAATAAGCTGCAAAATGTGCAGCCAAGCTATTGACACTTTCCTCTCCATGGAAAAGTAGCACTTCTTAAGTGGGCCATGATTTTTTTTTTTGCAATAACGGAACACGCAGCACACAAAATTTTCTAGTACAAATTGATGAAGTAAATATTTCTCTTTCTATTAGTTTTAGTATCAACAACCATACATACTATTATACTGTGAAAAAAATTATTTGCACAAAAAACTTTTAAGAAAACCTTTTGACACTAACAAAACCATCCTGATACCTTTATGAATATGCAACCTCAAAAGTGTTCAGAATGTCCATGTTTTAAAACAGAGATTCTCATGGTACGTAAACAATTTTCAACCTTCTGTGCTCAACAGAAAGAAATAAGTGACTTTTACAAACCATGCCACAGAAAACCAGAGGATTATTGATGAAACTAAGTGAAGGTCGACAACTGGCTCTCCTGTTGCGAACAATAAAACTTTCTATGTGGTAACGGGCAAGTGATGTGGAAACGTGGAGGATAGAAATTTTCACCTTTCGACTCGCGGATTTTGAGACAAGCACGAAAAAACAGTGAGGTTATTTGGGAATGAAAACATGACACTTGCTGAAGGTCACCTCTTTATGTTTCTGGCTGGGTTGACCAGTTCTTGATATTCATGTTACTGATATCTTGTGCACTGAAGTTTCCTTGTGGGTTACTGATACTGCCAGCATTGAAAATTTTTGTGTAAATGCACAGTCTCTATGCAGTCGCTGCGTGTGGAATTAACACAATGTAGGGAACCATGGCAGCTGACTTGGCAGCCTTTTCGGAATTTCCACTCGGTGAAAAACAAACAAAAAAGCATGAAAAACACCTATAGTAGTATTTCTGTTTACGCACTGGGTGATGCTTGTTGTCTGCTTCAAACCTTAGAAATTTGAGATTAAAATCATCAATAGCAGGCTATTGAATGTGTACAAGCTCTGATTGGAGGATGTTAACGGCTAATTAGGTTAATTTGGATGATCATTCTTATAGTGCACTTTTATTTTAAACTTTTCTTGGATAATGCCCAACTTTTAAGAGTTATTCAGCTCCTTGATTCTGTGCTACTTGTCACAATCTAATTAAAAAAAAATGCTATTCCGGGTATGCTTTGCCAGTATAAAAAAGATTGGTGAAGTGCACATCGTGTCTACAGTGTCGATGTGTTTAAGTCTTTCTTGTAAACCCTTTTTCTAACACTATTTAACATCTGGTCATTCAGGTGAAACTTGCTGACTACATTGGCAAATTTGTCATTCCTGTGAACTTCATGAAGTCTTGGCCTCCTAACCACCTGGCCATTCAGTTCGCTTCTATTCAGTACATTGACTGGAGGAAAGCACACGAGGTGCAACAAGGTACGTTTCCATTTGCTAATTTGTGTTTCCTACTCACTGAACAAGTAGACTCGCTAGATGCTCGATCCTTTATAGAGTAACATGAAAAACTGCACTCTGAAGAATGCTTATGTTTGTCTATTCTTCAGTGCCGTCCTTGTTTCAATCTCATTGTCGCTAGCCAACTAGCCTACTAGTATGTGTTAAGTTGTGTTAAGTGAATGAGTCAGGTTGTTTTTTTTTTGTAATGTAGCACTATTATTTTTTTTTTAAAGTCTAGAAGAAGGGAATCCTTGGATGCTAATGCGCTTCGAAAAGGGGCATCATTAGTGCGAAGTTGCTATTGTCATTTTGCCTCAAATAGGGCTTGTGCCCCGCCGCGGTGGTCTAGTGGCTAAGGTACTCGGCTGCTGACCCGCAGGGCGCGGGTTCGAATCCCGGCTGCGGCGGCTGCATTTCCGATGGAGGCGGAAATGTTGTAGGCCCGTGTACTCAGATTTGGGTGCACGTTAAAGAACCCCAGGTGGTCTAAATTTCCGGAGCCCTCCACTACGGCGTCTCTCATAATCATATGGTGGTTTTGGGACGTTAAACCCCACAAATCAATCAATCAATCAAATAGGGCTTGTCATTATCAGGACTACTGAAATATCATTGAAAGTTAGTATAGTGTAACGAAGTACACTAGGGTGAGAGAAAGGCACTAAAGAGTACTTCTATTTGCGCTCTGTTTATTTCCACTACGTAAGTGTATGTTTTCTGCTGTGGCAGCCCTATCAACTTGCCCAGGTACCCACTCTTCTAATTGAGATATAGTGTAACGAAGTACACTAGGGTGAGAGAAAGGCACTAAAGAGTACTTCTATTTGCGCTCTGTTTATTTCCACTACGTAAGTTTATGTTTTCTGCTGTGGCAGCCCTATCAACTTGCCCAGGTACCCACTCTTCTAATTGAGAAGTGTTGTTCAACTTGTCAGACGTTTTATGCTTGAACAGTGAAGTGATGTCTGAAGCTCACCCTAATAATGGCCACCGAGCAGCTTGTGCTTATTAGCAGACATGTATGGCTTTGTTGTATGTGTCAGTAATGCGTAGCCATTAATGACGACTCTGTGTAGCGCTGGCACCTTGTAAAGGGCTAGCAATGACCCCATGCCCTCTCCATGCTGTCTAGATTAGGCTGCTTTCATTGGCAGTTATCATGCTCAGCTATCACAAAAATTTTCCCGGTGGCTCACAATTCTGGATTATTGGCTAATATTACCTTACATTTAAACACTGCCAGGTGCACGTGAGAGCGACAATGAAGAAGAAGAAGGCATTCGAACATGGGAGAGCCGCTCTGTAGAACGTGTTGCCAATGATATCTATAGCATCCTGAGGCAATGCAAAGAACAAGTGGTATTCAGTAATGCAATCAATGTAAGTCTGCTGCTTCTTTTTCTTTTAATGCGACACCTGAAAGATAATTTGGGAGAAAAAATATGCTTCTGCTATTGGCACATGGTTGCACCAACAGTTACTAAGCGCATTGTGGCAACTCTTACAAAGTCTAAGCGCATTGTGGCAACTCTTGCACCATATGTTCTGGTCAACACTGATTCAGGAGGTGGTTTTTTAACACTGTAACCTTCTAGTAGGAACTATAGAAGGGGAATACATTTCGGGATCTTGAGGCTTGCTTTTAGTGGACACGGCTGTACGAAGCCAAGAGACATTAAGGGGAGATGCGAGTAGAAAAACGCGAGTTTTTTCAAAAAACCGATTTTTTATTTTTGCCTGTTTTGATAAGATTAGTACCTCTACTGTTATTAAATGTAATACAGGCCGAGACTTAACTGGAAAGGCTTTAAAATTGCATCTAAAGAGCACAAGGTGCCTGTTAAAATGTCCAAAGTGTGCAGTCTTCGAGCACCTTGCCGCCGATAATGTGCCGCCGCTCGCCATTGTTGATCACGAGTCAAAGAGTCGAGCCTCACTCTTCAAATAACAACAGTTTCTCTCGTTGATGTAGCGTAAGAAATAATAAAAAGAAGCACTCTTCTGCGCGTTTTTCGAGCGCCGCGACTGGCTTATCACATGGTACGAATCGGGGACCGCCATTGACCGCTGCGCGTCTGCATGTACTGTGAAACCTATTTGCGGGGTCCATGTCTTGTCGAGCAGCGCAGCTGAACAATGCTTTTCTCGTGTAATTATCTCCGCTATGAATGAAAAAAGGCATTGCTCGCAATTGAAAGCCGTTGTGCGGCGGGCTCTGTTGGAATAGGCTACGAGCAGCTGGTCCGATTTGCAGCAGTTGTTGGCTTGCAAAAACCAATGCATCAAAAGTCATTCACACCCCTCTGCCGGAAAATTCGTAATGCGGCAATGGATGACGTCAGCACCAATCTTGAGAGGTCGAAAGAGCTCGCAGTGAGAGAACTTAGCAGGGATGGCATTGCCATTATGTACGACGGTATGTGGCACAAACATGGCTGCAAAATGGCATGACAGTGGACTTAGTTTGGCTTTCGCAGTTCTGTCGAACTTCTTCCTAGCTTGCAGTTGACGCAAGGCTCTGCCAGATGGAGCGGAAGTTTGGCAAGTGTTTTATGGCCCTGTCTGTGAGCGAAATGTCTGTGAGGAGTCGGCTCGAAAAAGCCAAGAGGGACCAACTCATGGTGCTGGCGTATTTTAGCCGCAGTGGCCTTTACAAGAAGGATTGTTCTTTTTGGTGTGCAAATTTCATCTGATTTAATGATATCTTTCATAAATAAAAACTGAATTTTAACTTTAAAGCTCGTTTTTCTCAAAACACAAGTTTTGCCATTTTTTTCAATGTGCCCCTCCTTTTTCGGGCACTTCTAGTGCTCGGATCTGCATGAAATTTTGCCCAAGTTTTTCCCGAAGTATGAAAAATTTAATTATCTAGTTTAAATTTCAATATTTTATTGTATAATAAAAAAATGTATGTATACTTTTACTAGGGTAGGTGAAATATGGACATTTTATGTCTATTATTTTTCACGCTTACTACATATTTTGTATAAGCTTCCTGATTAGTTATTTGCACTCTACACTTTATTTGAAGCATTATGAACTATGAATGGTAAAAAATTACAGAAGTTTAGGAATGAAAAGAGGGGGGGCAAAAGGGTTAAGGTTTTCACTTTGTCATGTTGTAGACCTAGAAGTGTGTAACTTGCGAAAAAACTAACTATATATTTGAAATCAGCATAAAAAGTTCCATAAACAGCTTACGTTTCATTGCTCTAGAGTGAATATTAAAAAAAAGTGTCTTCGAGTAGCATCTCCCGTTAAGGCTAAGGAGAGCACTGAGGGTGTCATATGAATTTTCAAATTAAAGTGTAAATTAAAGATAACGGAAAAAGAAAGTTTAATAAAAAAACAGTTTGCCACCAGTGGACACTTAACCCTTGACCTTTGCTTTACCATCATTGTAAGAGCATCTAAAGCCAAGTGCAAAACTGATCAAGTTCTACGTCAAACAAGTAAACATGCTTTCTATGCATTTGGCTGGTTAGGTTCTCAAACAGGCAGCTAGGGCTCATATTATCTGCTTTAATTTTTTAAAATTCTAAACACTACAATGAAGTTTATTTTAGTCAACATATATAGTTCAGCTTTAACAGTCACAACAGTGATTGTCTTCTGTCAAATGTGTTAGGGAATGCACAGCCCTACTCTATTCACTTTCTTTTTATGATATTGAGACAATACATTTTCTGGATAAGGTTTGCTCACCTCAGCGCACTTCACTATCTTCTGCTTGTTTGGAATTTTGAGTTCCGAATTTCACTGCAGGGTTAGGACACTGCCTGACTTTACATCAAAGCTGGCTTTGTATATTTCTGAGACCTAAAGCTTATAATCCATAGAAGTTTCAAAAATATACAATTACTTAAGAACGTTGAGAGACAGGTGTACAAGTTAATGTGGAAGACAGGAACTTGTGTTTGGCTGAAGCAACTGTATTTCATGCCTTCTCTGAGCCTGGAATAGGAGCAGGCTGTTAATGGCAGGTCAGACAAAACACTAAGTGAATGTACAACACCTTGGCTGGCATAAAAACTATCATGGGTTGGGTGGACCCTTGATAGAAATAATGGAGATACTTAATGTATATTTAAGGTCGACAGGTCAGAATTGGTAAAAAGCTTGCATATATGCCTAATGGAAACCAAAGTTTTGAAGCAGCCATGGTCCTTTTGAAACTTAGGACATGTTCACAATTGGGACACCAGTCAACGAAGGGGAAGCTTCGAAAGATAGCAAATATGTCTCAATGAACTCTGTTGAATCAACGCTTAGAAAAAGTGAACGCAGTCAGGTAGAACTGCCTGTACACAGCGACTGTTCACAGATTACACACAACAGAGGTGCAGCTTTCAAAATGTTGGAGTTTATACAAGCTGGTGCTAACGTGCTTTTTATTCTTGTTTGCAGCCACGGGCCTTCGTTGCACAAGCTGACAGTGCTACGCCATTACTTTGCCCAGATCATCGGCCTTTCATTGTGATAAGTGCACATCCCCAGGACAAAGACTTTGTGAGTACTAGTATGAGTCGTATAAGCAATGTAAAAAAAGGGGTAGGGGGATTTAAGAAAAGATGCTACAGGGTTTCATATGCCAACTGCTGTATAAGAATGTGTCATCTTAAGTTTCTCTTGACGAGTCCTTAACATTTTTTCTTCAAGGATACATGCTTATAGTGGTGAGCAAACAAATATATTTCTAGACAATGCAGCCTCTCTTTTACTTCCTGTATAAAGCTCTACAACAGCCACGCACTTCCCAACTCTCCTGAATTTTTCGCAAGTTGACGAAATTGAGCTAGATGAAATAAACACAAAGTTTCGCTTGCTAGTTATTGATTCTTTCATAATAAGTCTTGTCAGGTTGAATGTATCTCTAAAAGACTTCAAACATGCAAAATCAGTAGGAGTGTTGCTGGGGATAAAAAGAATTTGGCAGATTTCACGTACCTTTGGAATCAACGTTAAGCGCAGCATGCGGAGGGAAGCTGACCGTGTTGTCAGAGGCTCCTTCAAACTTTCATCTGCTGTTACTTTTAACTTTTGTGTTTGCTTCATGGTTCTTCCAAACATCAAACAGCTGGCTTGCTCACTGCCTGGCTCTGGGGTTTTATTTTGGCCAGATATACATGTTTTTTCACATTTACCGCACGCGCTTAGAACATTCTCAGCGCGTCTGGTAATTATGTTTACTTATATGGAGCGCCTGTTTTTTTACCACTCGAGGGGTTGTTTATCGTGCACAGAATTTTTCACGCAGACATGGGGATCATGGAATTTGCTTTTAATCATCATGCAAAACCTGGAAAAATCAAGGAATTTATAAATTTCAAATTGGTAGACACCCTGGGTCCAAAATTCCAGAGCTCATTATTGTGGTGTCCCTCATAATCGTATTGCTACGAGCAAAATAACACAGACAGCCAGGAGTTGACGTCTTGCCCAGAACCAGACCAGAAAGCTGGTTTTGGGACATAAAACCCCAACAGTTATTGTCTCCTTTCTTTTTTCACATCAGTGTGGCCGGCTGCAGTGTCTGCTCGAGCGCAACTGTTACGAGGCCTGGTGTTCATTGGATAGCCTAGCAACGCCGTCGGGTCCGTCGGGTGCTGGGGGTGCATCCAGTCCAAGCAGTGCTGGCACCATCACACCGAGCACGCCCCTGCCCTCTTCAGTGCCAACATTTGGATCCCAGGACAGCCGAGGCACATCCGATTCCCAAAACATGGGACACAGTGCACCGCGCCCGCCCCCGTTGCTTCGAATTCCATCCTTCCAGTTTTCTTGTAGCATGGACACTGTTGGCAAGTGCACCCATTCGTACCCTGTGTTAAGTTGTGCTCCCTTTTTGGGCCTAGTAGCCAATGTTATGAATGCTACCCTAATGATGCTGGTGTAGACTTCAAGCCTGTCTAGTTTTACGAAACAGTTTTTTATCTATGATCTCATTTTCAGGAATAACTGCACTTCATACTGTCATACAGCTGCAGCTTGCATTGCCACATGTGTGATATTTTATTTGCACACATTTCTGCTTCCAGGATGCTCATCTATACATTGGTATAGGTGCATATTGCGAACACCAAGAAGTCAAAATTTCTGAACTCCCCAAATCTTTTTAAAGGGCCAGCAAACAACACCAAGGTCCAAGAATTGTTATAAAAAGAAAAATGTGCGATGTTACTTCGTGAACATGCTGCCGCAGGAATTTGGCGAATATGTGCTATATTAAGGAAGTTACAGAGGCTAGAACATCGCATTCAGTTGGTTTTAAATTTTCGCGCGGCCTGGCCATCCTTCTCCTTCGAAGGGAGGGGAAGGCGTGGTCGTTCGTCGTGACTCCACCCACTTCAGCAATGTGACAAGACGTGAACGATTGACGTCATCAGCGAACTCGATCAGTTGCAACGCACTTCCGCTTGCTGCGATGCCTGGTTGTTTAATGTTTACCCGGTCTGATGCTTCTCCGCAGCCCAGTCACTCGATTCGCAGAAGACTACGATTTGCAGCAAAACTGCGTTCCAAAACCCAGACATGAAGTTGGCTCGATTTTTCTGGAGTTCAATTTTTTTTTTGGGGGGGGGGGGGGGGGGAGCAGACTGTCGTGACAACTGGGAGCAGCAACACAAAAAGCAAATGAGGCACTTAATGGTGTGTGTGCTGATCAACAGGTGGTGCGACAATTTGTTCGTTCACAAGAACTGGGTCAGTGAAGTGTCCCGATTTCGATGCATTGAGTCTATGGGGAGTTTCGCAACTGGTATGATTGAATAGCTCTGTCGTAGTTGTGAGTGAGACAGGAACTATCGTTGACTTCACTACTGTTTGTTGACACCTGGTTGAGACCAATCGACAAGCTGCGTCACGTCGCCGATCGCAGAGTTGTCATCACTGCTCGTGCAAAGAGCATTGGTCAGGCGTAGGAAAGGAGTGCAGGAATCGTTTTTATAAATGGAGGCTCTGCGCAGCACGCAGCTCTGTAATATACAGGAAACGTGATCACTGCGGTCTACTCTACGAATTACCGAGCTTGTTTGGCGGGTGTAAAAAAAAAGTCGGAGCCTGTTGACTGGCCCTTTAAAGTAATGTCATTCTTTTTTTTCGACCCCTTGGTTTTTCCTCGCTTCTTCTCTCTTTCGTGCTCCCTCCTTGACTGTGATGCCACCTGCACTGCTCCAGTGTAGCAGACCGAGTTTCGTAGTGTGAATGCGGGCACAGTAAGGCAGTGTGCTACAGGCATTTGCACTTGCGTTCTGGCTGCTGGCATAGTCATTTGCAACACAGTGGTATTTTTCTCCGGCAGGTTATACAAATTTATTAACTGCCCTTTAGCATATTTGGATAACTATTCTACAATGATAGTGTCTAAACTAACGTAGAGGAGGCTCATGACATGCCTGAAGGTTGTACACTACAATTCAGCTCACAACTTTCGTAAAGAGCGCGTATCACCAGGTCCTGTTGCAAATAGTTGTAAAAGACACATTGGAGGGTGAACGCTAACGTCACAGTATACAGCAAACCTTCTGAAACCTAGACAATGCTCACAGATATTGCAAGGTGAATTTGCAGGTTGTACAGTCGAGCCCGCTTATAACGAACCTGAGCGTGACGCGGCATCCATTCGCTGTATTTCAAAGTTCGTAGTAAATGAAGCACAGCTTTTAAAGAAAGTTGTGAGTGAGAACACAAACGTTTTGCCCCAAAAAAGTCTGTGATGCACATGTTTCGAAGAGAAGGAGCGATAAGGGCGGTGTCCAGTTCATTTAAAACGGCAGGGTGCTCGTTAGCCGAGGCCCGTGGCATAAGCTGCATGAGGCACTGGCACCAAAGTTTCGCCGTTCTCGCAATCCGATTCCTCCAAATCGCTCTCGCCACATACTTCATTCACAATGCGCTAATCCGTGCACAGTTCCGCAGTGTTGGCATCATCATAGGCCGTAAATAAACCATCGCAACAGATGTCCCACCTGCTCTCCCAGGTCGGAGTCGACGACGCACTGCCACAAATCGCCGCTGCAGCTCGGAAGCTTCAGGCTCGGCATCGGACCTGACGTCGACGAAGTCGATCTCGCGAAAACAGTTTCGCGCGCATGTAGTCGTCACTGCCGCCCATGAAATATTCACCATCTCCACAGCTGAATACAGGGACGCCTAAAGCGATAAGTTGGCTGCCAGGTGGTCAACAGCTATGAGCAAGCGCTTGGCGATACGGCACCTAACGCGCGGATTACGCTCAAGCCAAGCGGTCACACTTTCGACATTTCGTTGAGCGGCAGGAAAAAGCATGCTAGTCCTCTCGTTGGCCATCATGACCACACATGCACACCAAGAGCGAGCAAGACACGCACACGCGACACACATGCCAGAACACGTGGAACAGCTCTGGGCCTGTTTCTACTTAGAAAACGAAACTAATTCGAGCCAGCGTGGTGGGCGTCGCGGAGCAGTGGAGACGGGCGAAGGGGTTGTGATCAAGAGAGGAGAGCAGACTTGCGAGAGAAGGGCAAGGAGTTGCGATATAGAAAGGGGAGGATGCAGCGGGAGGGTGACCTTGAAAACCAAAACACACGGGAAGGAGGCAGGATAGCTTGCTTGGAAGATGCGCGAAACTCGCACGTAGAAAAACTTGGAAAGAGAGCCTGCGTGCACAGAAGTCAAAGCATGGCCGCCTGGATTGGTGCGCGCGGCGTTGTTCGAACAATCGGCGGCCGCGGTAAAAAAATCGTTTTGTTGCGCCGGCGGGTTTGCGTGGCCTCACGAACTTCGATATTTCGCGATTCGTTCCGTGCAAATTAAGAGCCGTTTTCCCACTTCCCCATGTGCGTGGAAGGCATGCTGAGCCGAGTGCGAAGTGATCGAGAACAAGTCTTAAACACGAAACGAATTGCAAATTATCAGAGCCGGTGGGGTAGCGTACGCGCGTGCACTAGACGCAGACTATCGAATATGGTTGGTGGCCGACGATGTTGGCGAATGGTCTGGTCACTCCAGGCCGGCGACGCCAGCGACAGTACCAGCAATCAAAAACGGGGTAGATGGCCGACCGGTCTTCGAAAGATCGGTGGCAGTGTGAAAACACGGGCCTCGTCTGGTGATACGGGGTGCTCAGAGTAGTGGGGGGACAAAGGACGAAGGGGTGCGTAACAAAAAGCGGTCGGGGAGAGCGGCAACTAGAGGGTCGCGGAGGCAGGGTCGGTATTTAACAATAGAATGTATGGGCACCTCGCCGATGCCTGATCGGTGATCGAAATTGGTTTCCCGGGAAGTCGGCAGATTGCTGACTCCATTTGCTGTAACCGATCAGCGGTGCTCGGAGACGTTCGTTGTAAGTGCGATTTTGTGCCATTGAACCAATGTATATTTTCACGGTTACGGGATATTGTTCGTTTTAAGTGGGGCCGTTATATGTGGGCTCGACTGTATCAGTTGTGACGCATGAAAAGTGGCAGGAAGAACAAGTGGCAGCCGCTCTAAGTGTTCAGAGGGCGCCCAACAGTTTTAGTGCCTATGTGTGGCAATGTTTGTACCAAGCATGCTCAAATGCACAGCTGGTAGGTGCTGGTGCTATTATGTCTTTAACGCTTCAACACATACAGCAGTGTGTTTTGAGAAATTGCATGCATCTCCAAGGCTCATGGCGTTGTCTAGCGATGATCACGCCACTTATCACGGTCCAGCCTACAGCTTGTGTAACAGCGCACAGTATACTTTTTATCGCAAATTTACCGCTTGACCAGGCTAAAATCTTCATTAGCTGCAAAAGCTAATTATGTAGCAGAAAGAGCTAGAGATTTACAATGTTAATTTGCACCCAAGACTTGCGTTTTATCAAAAGAACTGTGCTCAATTTTAAAATTTATGAAATGAAATTCTTGCTTGTGTTCACATGTACCTGTAAATTTGTTGATCTAAATTTTTAGTGTTAAGTGCACGAAGCATAATCACTACTTTCGAGCTATTTGGTGGGTAGTACACAAAAAGCAGAATGTGTGTAATTGATACGAAGTAAATATGCCGGAGAAGCTGTGTTAGAGGGTCGAAGAGGAACAGCAATGTGCTCAGTGAAATTTCATTTGTTTACAGTGGTGTAGTGTGTAGCTAATAGCGCAAACCTTGGCACATACTGCATTGAGATTTTTACAACTTGACTTGAATCGGAGATATTGTCCGTAATTTCTCCATTCCTATTTGGTGCATTCATATGTCTAAGAACTCTTCACACCTACAGGATGGTCTTGCGAGTAGATATTTTTGCCATTGATAAGTCTGTTGTAGCATATGAAAGCGCAGCACCCATTGGTGATGAAAGCGATCGCATTCTTGCAGTAAAACTTATGTTGCGACCTACGTGCAAGGTGTAGCAACTGCATATACACACGACACTTGCATTCTCTGCCAGTGCGTGGGCATATCTAAAACGAAGATGCCAGTCAAGAGCCATCTCTTGACTCTAAGCAAACGAACTCTGCGCACGGTCCCACGTGACATTAGTTGGTCAAAAGCGATGCGGCGTCAACCTCGGAGAGAGCAGGTGATGGAGAAGAGAGAGGAGGTGTGCCTTCTTCAAAGCGTGTCACTACCTTACGATGTTTCCGACGCTGAAACACGGTGTGTTTTGTAATAATATCATGGTTTTGGGATATTAAACCCCAACATTATTATTATTATTTTTTATTATTATTATATTATTAAGAATGCACTTTGTTATACATTAACGCTGTATGTCAGGAAAACAAAAAATTATTTTTGTTCATGATATCTCAATATTAAGTCAGTACTCCTTTAACATACTCAGGCATAGAACAATACAAGAGTCTCCAGAATTTCGCCTCCATTGACATGTGACCACCCGCACCGCCGCGGTGGTCTAGTGGCTAAGGTACTCGGCTGCTGACCCGCAGGTTGCAAGATCAAATTCCGGCTGCGGCGGCTGCATTTTCGATGGAGGCGGAAATGTAGGCCCGTGGGCTCAGATTTGGGTGCACGTTAAAGAACCCCAGGTGGTCGAAATTTCCGGAGCCCTCCACTACGGCGTCTCTCATAATCATATGGTGGTTTTGGGACGTTAAAAACCCCACATATCAATCAACATGTGACCACCCTGGCTGAGGTCTATCCCACAACAGTTGTGGGGCAAAATAATATAGCAGGTCGTATAAATGCACAGTTCGTTTGGTCAGAAGATTAAAACTAACGTCACTGCACACGTGCGTTCAGACAGCCAAGGTGTCAAGCGCAACATGCATGGCAAGTACGCAGTACTGTTCTCAAACAGTTCGCAACACTTTATTGCCTGCCGCAAACCCAAAACGCTGTACAGCACCTGCTACAAAAGGCGGCGAGAAAGCAAAGGAGGCTTATCCACGCCACAAGTTAAAGTACAAAACACAGGTGCCGCAAGCATGTCTCTGTGGATAAAAAAGTCTCATGCCGACATGCCGCTGAGGGAAACGGGCCCTCGTGACTATGCTGCGGGCTCTCATGATCAGTGACTGCAGGGCCCGATCGCTCGAGCAAGGGCAAACTCCGCTCGTGTTTGCTTTGAGATGTACAGATCGGTGTAGTACGACCACATACGAATACAGCGCACCGCTCTTCAGCTTAGCGATCGGAAAGGGCAGCGAAAGGTAAGCGTTCGCCGTGAACGCAAGGCACCATTGGCGAACTTATCCGGGCGAACTCCAAGAACAAATGAGCCAACGGACGGGAAATTAAAGGTGTCCTAACCTTTCACTGCCCTAAGAGATTCTCTCACTCCCGCATGGCGTGCGTGTGAAACGTATCGTGAGACTCGAAGCGCAGTGCCGCAATTGACATCCGGTATGATCCAGTGCCAGGTGAGAGAGATCGTCACTCCCGCTCTTCTAGCACTGTCGGACCGCGGAAATGACTATGCCATTTCCGCGGTCCGACACTCCCAAGTCATGTTTCTGCCGTTCTCACTCCCAAGTCATGTTTGGGAGTGAGAACGGCAGAAATAGGCGAAAAAGCCTGCGCAATGGAAGGGAGGCTAGCCTCGATTCCCACACCGTTCACCCTTGAAACTCAGCTTTCCTTGATTTGCTGGTATGGCATATCAAAACACTGAAAAATGAAATTGACTGCCATGATTTGTTTAAACGCTATTATGTTCAAAAGCTCGTTTCACAAAATCTTGGTGTCAGCAGCAGCATTTGTGTGGGAATTGTTGGTGTTAAGCGAAAAATCGTGTCCCTGACCGAAAAATTGAGAAGAGTGCATATGAAAGAAATAACCAAAATTTCCACATTTGAGTGAACATTGAACCCAGGTCATCTGTGTGGCAAGTAGGTGGTTTACCACAGAGCCACAATATTTGTTGAAACTGCGCTGAGAAAAAAAAATGCTATACGAATGTCATGTAGGAGAAGGAGCCTCCCTAACGCATTATATATTGCATGGCAGAAGTGTAGCATTGTGCCAGGCATCAAAAGATGTGAATTGTGCAATGAGTGGGTGTTTTAAAGACCCACCCACTCAGACATATTTAATCAGTATCAGCAGCAGAACCATCAACGAAGTGAAAAGCTGCGTAGGTTCACGTGCTGTCCTAAGGACGCATCGTGGGTCCTTTGCTGATTTGCTAAAGGAATTAATATGGTGTAGTGGGCGCTTAACACTGCTTGTAATAGACATTGAATAATACCTTGAAATGGCCAATGTTATGTGTATAGTCGTTCGTTTCCTTACAGCACGGGTAAGGCATGAACTGAAAACCGAACCAGCCTAGCAGTTTCGAAGGCGATGCACACGAGGCTCGGTTACGCTATCACGATCTTCTGTTGGAGGTGAAGTTAAAGTGTCCCCCAACCTTTTTGTGTACCTTTGTTTTCCTTTTGTGCAAAAAGTTAGTACATATGCGACTCCTCAAAAAGAAGCAGGGCAGAACAATATTGAGAGTACAATTCAATTGCTTTTATGTATCGCTGAATACAAAATTTTGATCTCATTGCTGGCAAAATTATTTGATATTGCTGTAAAGTTTAGGCCTTAATAACTTAACCTGCTTGGTATTAGAGTAGTACATACAGAATGTTATAGAATAAGAAGCTCAAACTTGTGCATCATCCTAGGTTTCGTAGAATTTCATGAGCTTTCTCGACAGATGAAAGCTTATACTATTGTTCAAATGCATTGGTTTTGCAAATACTACTTGTTAAAACTGGAATTTTAATAGAACCTATATATTGGTCTTTTTCTTTCAGACAGTGACAGCATGTCAAACAAGGAAAGCAATCGGAAGTATGAGTTTCGGAAACAGGTGTTGCGGGCAGAAGTGGTTATTATTGTGCTCTCGGAAAGCTACCTGGAATCCAAGGCATCCCAACAGCAGGTCACTTATATTTGCTTTTTTTGTGTTTATTAGAACATTCTCTTGGTTTGCTTGCTGTTGTAGCTGTAGCAGTCAAACGAGAGGAGCATGTACAGATAGTGAATTTTAAAGGAGGTTCGCATGGTACAGCTGTATGATTGGTCTTGCCCATAAGTGGTGACATCCGGGATCTGATTGGTCCGACAAATGTGTTATGTGTTTCCATATGGTGTCTTTCTGGTCGAACCACATTGTTGTGTGGTGATAGGTAATGTATGGGCGTGTGTATGATTTTGAAAGCTGCGGACTCTATTCAGAGAAAAAAAGTAATTTTGAATACGGAACGCTAGTACATCATCTTAGCTTTTATTTCAGAGGTATAATGAATAAGGAAAAAAAATTTATTGATTGAGTATTGAGGAAAATGAAGTTTTGTGTTGAAATGAAGAAATGAAGTTTTGTGTTGAAAAATGCGATCTCTGTCATTAGACATAGTGCTCATTCTTGCTCTCGATGAGATCTTTGGATTTGTTCGACTTACCATTATATTCTCTGCGTCTCACCTCCTTTGTTCTTCTACAGGCTTGCTACTGTCTTCTGCGAAAGAAAGTGGTAGTTGTGGGCTGCACCGAGAAAGAGGTGCCAGTATCAATCCAGAAGCGCTTGCAATTCGCAACTATCGTGAACAAAGTGAGTCTGGTGATGGAATTTTCTGCATTCAGTTTATTGATAAGTTTAGGCATATTTTTTACGCATTTAGAAGTAGGAAGGTAAGCAATGTCTCATGTTCTGTCTTCTCTTTTGATGTAGCAGGAATCTGATGACTGGGAGTGCCAGTTGCTAGAAAGAATCAGCAGACTCCTGAAGCAACCTGAAAAACCAGTTTTTGATGCAACTCTGGAAGAAGCGACATATTTGGTATGCTTACGTTGCGATTGCTTTTTTCCCGCGGAGCACAGGCTTCGAAATTTTTGTTTTTGCTTTGGAAATGTTATACAAACCTATTTTTTTATGGCAGAAGTGTTTATATAGTGTCATGGTAGGGTTCTGTTGAAGGGATAGTTGGTACGTGTTGCATTGAAGTAAAAAAACAGCATGAAAACTGTTCCTCCCCCCCCCCCCCCCCCAAAAAAAAGGCACAGAATACGAGCACGCAAATAGCAAGTGAGCACCCCTTTTTGTGCAGCAAGAAAATATATAGAAAGCAAATGTCACAAAAGAAAAGGCATGGCTCGATAACTGCACAAATATAAGGTTAGACAGCAACATCACTTTTGCCTCATATCAGAACAGCATTAACTAACGTGACCGATACACAACCTCTTTTCCAGGAAAAGCTACCGATGGTTCACTGATGCACATGTTTCCCTCGTTTTTGTTTTAAAGACCTTCATAGATATTGTACTGTCTGGCTTTATAGATTTCACTGATTTTTCATGTTACTATAAAGAGGAAAAGCAGAAGGCCTGGTGAAGAGTTAGCTAGCGAAGGCTGGTAAAGGTGTCTGTCTTCTTCTTCTGTACTTCTCAGTGCCCATATGTGATGCTACCTGGGCGTTCGACCTTGTGCTTCGAAATACTTAAGATAAATTGCCTCACTCAAGACACCGGCGCTGTGGCTGTCATTGCAGGAGAAGAAGCTGCTGACAGAGCTGCCACAGTCGGACTACCGGGTCTACGTCACTGGTGGAACCCATCTGACTTGCAAACGTTCTGAGAGCATCTGCTGGTTTGTAGTCGATCCTTCATGTTAATGTTTAATGCTGTCGGGGAAAAAAGGGGGTCACCCAACGTGACGGTAGTGCAGTGTTTTCAACCGAGAACACTCTAAATGCAATATGTCCGGCTTTAAAAAAAAACACCTGGAGAGGATGGAGTGTTTTGAACATACTCGGGGCTCTTGGAAAAAAACATGAAATGCAGTTTGCTTTCCTGTAACCGAGGGGGCTGCATACAGTGTTTCTTTTGTCTTTGGAAGGTGTTACAGTGTACAAGCGTGCCATCGTTCGGCTCAGGGAGCAACATACGTTGCTGAAAGGGACCACACGTTCTCATCTTGCACTAGATTGCCGTGGACATGGATGTGAAGCTGTTGTTTTTGGTTATGGTAATCGAGTAACATGCGAGATTACAGAAGTTGATATAGAAAAAAAGGCAAGGCATGTGTCGGATAACGTTCGTGGAGTGTACTTGACAGCGATTATAATCTGTTACGGAAACATGGTGTCATATCACGAATGAATTTCATGTGCTTGCACAAGTGGCACATTGTGCATAACTAACGGCAATTTTTCTTTTTTGCAGTCTCACTTCTAAATTTTCAGTTTAAGGTCAGAGCTTACCCTGTCTGTTATTTTTACCTGTCTTCGTTTTTCAGCACTGGACAGTGAGTTAATCAGGTCACACATCTTGTGCAGACTTCCGTGCTTTTAAACACTTTCCATGTCTACTGGCCTGGCCACTGCGGCCAGTTGTTCTTTCGCTCACTTTCATTCTTTTTCTTTATTATTTCTTCATAATCAATACAGTGAAGTTAAACTATTTTCTCAGTGCTTTTTTCAGTTTTCCTGACCTCTCAGCTTCATTACATTTACGACTGACAGTAGTTTAGCCCTTCCATTCTTTTTTGATTTTTACCTCTTCTTGCACTTCATTACCAAGTCATACTCATTGTACACTTTATTGATAGTAAAGAAAAATGTGACATTTCTTATATTTACCTTTCCTGTACAGTGCCATTGGACAGGAACTTGCCTCACTGAAGTTTGTCAGCCTCTGCACAAGTGGTTTCTTTGGCGTTGAAGAACAAGTGGCTAGGAGCTTCTGCGAAGAGCGATCCTTGACAGAGAAACCTTTTCATCGAGTCTTTCATGTTGTTCCTGAGAGGGACAAGAAGGTGTGTGTGCCACCTCATGAAAACTTGCTTTTCGCTCTGGACAAATCTATTATCCCATTATTTCAAAGCATGTGCTGCTAGGTCTTATTGTGTTAAAAATTAAGGCTGTTCACTAGAGCTGTGTGCATAGCAATATTTTGGATGTGTAGCAAACTCAAGTATTAAAGTGCGAGTGTGAATCAAATGTAATATTTTCTCATATTTCTGAAATATTTTAAAAACATCGAAGTGAAGTTGTAGAAAAAGAAGAGTTAGAGAGGATTCTGTAGCGTATTTTTATAAGACAGCAGCACGCAAGCGTTTTCTTTATTTTTCTAGGTTGATGCGCTGGTGGCATTGTGCTTCATTGTGGTCTTTTCGAGAATGAGGCAGCTCAGAGGCTGAATTGTATTTCTGCATGTGACTTGGTGCAACCAAAGTCTTGCCAACAACACTTTACATGTGAAGGGCAAAGATGAAATTTCCTCGGCCTCTCCTGCTCGTTCAACATCTGTGGACCAACTAATGTGGAGGAGAACGGTGTCCTCTCTTCAAGTCTGGAGTTCCACATCTACCTTGTAGACGCCAATACATGAGGACATCTGAAACTTTTCATGCTAAAAATCTTTGGCATAGATTTTTTTTTACCTCCTGCCCAAATTTCAAGTTCAAAACAGCATTGAGCCCCTATCTTGGCCACATCTATCATCTCCATGTTCCAAACCAAGGTTTTCTTGAGGCTTGTGCTATGAATTTTGAGGTTCGAAGTGAATGGTGATTTCGGTTGAATAATTTTGAATCGAATTCAAATAGTGTATATATATATATATATATCACACATCATAAAGGAAGGAAGGGCATATTTGTCATGACATAACTAACTTCTGCAATATTTTTGAAGGATTGAAATAGGGCCTGTGTATTTGCTATTTTATTGCATTTAAAAAAAGTGGAAACAACTTTGAACAGTTGCAGGATTTGACTTTCAGTAGAATGTAAGTGAAAGGCTGTAAAATATATCACTTTTTAAAGTTCGTAAACTTGGAACATATGAGTCAGTATAGCAAGCTTTTAAATAAATAAAAAAATGAATTCATGTCAGGGTAATATTACCATTTAACATTGAAGTGGGGCAACGTGGCAGTGCGGATTTGCCTTGGATATTTGTTTTCACAGCTTATCATCACTTCACTGCAGTGAAACCACATTTATAAAGTGGTAACATGCAAATTTATACTATACACCTGAATGTGTGCTTTCACAGCTTAGCATCGCTTTACTGCAGTGAAACTATCTTTACAGTGTGTCACATGCATTTAATTGTTTGTTTTAAAATATTCGAAGTTTTTCATAATTTAACTTTGATTCGAAGCGAATTTGAATACTGTATTATTCGTTCGAATATTCGAAGCTTTTGAACATTCGCACCAACCTAATTTCGTGATAGGAGGCTTTGCCGCAATATGAGTGTGTGAGTAGGAGAAGCATACTAAAAAAATCTTAAGGGTTCACTATCAAGCAGACATTGACTGTACCTGTAGGTTTGAAAAGTGTTGAATAGTTCGATTCCAGTGAAAATTGAATCAAATAGTAAATGCTATGCGAAAAATATTTGAAATTTTGAATATTCGCTCACCCCCACTGTTGACAGAGTTTGGTGGCTGGTGTAAATCTCATGGTACAGACAAAAAAAAAATTGTTCTGCCCTCCATAAGATACCTGGCATAGAAAGATGCAAGACAATGCATTTCTGAAAGTCCACCGTTGCCGAATTCAGAGGTGCCACCTCCTCCCCTCCTCCCTATTCATCCCTGAGATAAAATTTTTCGCTGCAGCACAGGTGTGATGTTGCTACTAGCTAGTTAACTCGCTGGAATATTCAGCAACAAATCTGATGGTTTTGCAAGGCCTAACAAAGACACTGATTTTGTACGTGTATTGTTATATTGAAGTATGTATTCTTCGTATTTTGTTCATGGGCTGGTGTATGCAGTAAATCCCAATCATGGACATGCTGTGCCTTTACTACAGTGAATTTTTATGGTATCTGTCGTTTAGCTTCTCCTAAACAAAGTACAATTTCAATTAATGAATCAGCAATTGATGTTGTTAGATCAAGACTATGTTCAATTGAAGTTCATACTTTTATGCAAAATGTAGCCTTCAAAAACAACGGCAAGAATGTAAGCTTTTAAAGACTACATGTGGCTGTTGGCGGCAAAAAGAAAAAAAGTGGGCATATTGGCAATACTGTACGGCATTGAAATATAATCATCCTTCTCTGCACGCATGTCGCAAGGTTGGAATCCACAAATCGGGGTTGCAAGTGCAAACGCCATTTGAGGCCCAAACTGTCAAGTGGACTTTAGATAGGAAGTGACAAGGGGATGGTACTAGTTTCGACTGTGTGCCAGGAGCCCCATAATACTGCCTCATGGGCCGCAGGTTGCCGACCTCTTGCTTAGAGTACAAGAGTTGGTTTCATTCTCTCCTGCAGTCTTTACGACTAATCATGCTTACTGTTTGACATGCGGCGATAGCAAAAACGTCATATCGGAAGCTGGCGCACGACAGGTGCAACACAGAAAGCGGGACTACGCCATGGAACTGCACTGTGCACAGACAGCAGGGTGATGCGCGCACCGTTGTTCCAGCATGTCATGAATCGGCTGTGTGCTCTCCTCCAAATCCACTGCCAGAGAATATGCCGCTCAGCTTCAACAACCACTCTCTGTTGCACGGCGCGTCATTTCAAAGATGCGATTGCAAAAAAGCACACGCATCTCAACTACATGACAACTGGCTGTAGCAAAAGTTTCAATTTATCACTTCAGTCTTCCTCAGTGGTAGCACTGAAACTTCGCTGAATTGAAATCGCAGATAAGCATGCGTCTTTACGCTGAGGATCAAAGTGCATGGTGTTTAATCAACATAAAGTTGTAAGAAGTGAGGTACTTCATTAAAAAGATGATTTTTTTATATCAAGGTTTAACTGGAATAGCATGCCACTCACATGCTTTTGTGAAGCCGGTATATCAACATGTGGTGCTTATACCTCGGTGCTGTTTTACAGGCCCGTCACATTATTTTGGGGGGTTTCTTTTCTGTGTGTGAAAGTCGCTATATGTCTGTGAAGGTACACAATCTAGAGCTGGCAAATATCTGGGCACACATAGCATATTGTGCGTTTTATGTTTTCATAGGACTGGAGCAAGAAAGCTTATCAAAGACCTAATGGCACGTTCGGTGGCATCACTCATGGCCAAGTGAAAGTCGTCGGGGGCTCCATGGCCGAGAGGGATGCCGTGATTGCCCGTGTGTTCGACGTCTGCATTGTGATAGAAGGTATGGCAGCTTTGACAGATCAGGTCAGACGTGCAGAGATCTGCTAGAGGTGGTGGAAGTATGATGAAAGAGAACAAATTTCGGTCCTTTTGTTAGTATTAGCACAGAACTACAAAGGAAACTAGTGTTGGATTGTAAGGAAGCATTGCAGCTGAAGAAAAAAAAATTGGCCCGTTCCAGGAGTGAGGTTATCTGATTCATGTAGTTGCTCTACCATCTGTTTTGACCTTGAGGCTGGCTTGCTGCTGAGTTTGCTTAAATTATGAGACAAATGTTTTGAGTGCTTATGACTTATGAATAGTCTTTCATCGGCTGTTTACAGTTTTGCAGCAGTAGTGTCCGTTTAAACAACTTGAATGTTTTATAAACATGGTAGTTAAATCAAAACCAAGTTCAGCCTTCATACAAATCGAATTCCAGGTATTTTGCCCATTGATCTTTATCCACAGAAGTGGCAACATGCTGATTATCTTGAATTATTGGGAAGCAAAGATCAGATTTTTTAAACAGCAAGTATTCTGTTTTGCCCACTTAAAAAGTAATCAAAATTAAAATAAAATTACTTAAGTTTTAGGTCTTAATGTTTATAAAAAAACTGGTGGCAAAGTATCATGTAGAATACTGAACTATACTGTATTCAGCCTACAGTTAAAAATACCTCGAAAATTTAGTCAGTACAGTATACGAGCTTATCTCAGTTCAAATAATTGTGGTATCTTTTTTTCAGTTAAATTTTACAGTAATACTACTTTGTTAAAGTGTATGAATATTTGTGATAAAAAGTTGAATTCCAGGCCGGTCTTGAAATTGGGTGCCTTACTATTTGGAAACTGTTGGAATAGTATTCGATTTGGTATGATAACTGTTCTATTTGTATTCCAGTTCCAAATTTCACTATTTGCACACCCCTAGAAAGCATACATATTTACTATATCCCGCTTTTTTTAGTATGTACTGTAAACTTCGTTGTTTTGACGTAGCAAGAGAAATATTCTGTGAGTGTGGGTGTGTAAAAAAGCAGGGCATTAAGTGCAGAGAGTCCATTGGTTTGCCTGGTGTTCATCTTATTTTACAGGTGGTCTTAACACAGCTAGAAGAGTAGCAGAGTTTGTGTGGAATGACAAACCAGTGATCCCAATTGTTTCCACTGGAAGAGCTGCTGCTGGGAATTTCAACCCTGGTGTTGGTGTAGACACTAATGCATTGAATGCGATATGGGAGGTAAGAACTGGTGTTTCTTTTCTTATGTTTTGGGTAATGGCCTGCTTCTTGCACCTGAGTGTATACGTGCGGGACTCGCGCAGTAGTGACGAGGGGTCGTAAGGTGTCAATGAATGTCGCACCACATATCGTATACTTTTGCTCCAAGAATGGTACCCTTGGGAACTAAACTCTGGCATCTATCGTTGCTCCTGGAATATGACGTGAAGGTTGTGTTATATTTAAGCAAATATACCTGTATTCTTTGATTTATATGTGCTCTAAATGGTCCCAGGTAATCAAATTTTTATCTACTCATAACAATAACACGCAATCTACTCATAACAATTTTGGCATGCAAGCTTCAGAATAGTATCTATTTTTTCATGTTTTCACGACTACTAACGATCTGGAATTCTAGTATCATTTGTAGTTACACTCAGTTCAGGGGCTTCTTGTTTGTTATGTTTATTCTTGTAGTTGTTGCATTCAGAAGCTGCCGCGGCTCTCTACCGATTCAGCATAAGTTGGCTTTAAGCTGGAGCCTGTGAAAATGATCACTTCAAAATGAACTGGGGTCGAAAAAAAGCAGAATGCAGTCGCATTGGACTGTTCAGCTGCAATAATAATAAACTCAAATACAAATTTTCTACCCAAACAAATCCACTAAAACATTGTCAGCTTGCTGTGGGATGCATATACAATGCAATATGCAAACTTGAGAATTTATTGTTGTGGTTATGTCATGTCAAGTGTGTTAAAATGTTGCCACTTTTATTAAAAGTGCTTCAGGGAGCTAAGAGGTCTCATACAACTATAAACCTGTCTTGTTTTTACTTTTTTTTTGTTACCAACCCTATGCAGAATCCTCCTCCTGGTGTGGATTGCAACACATGGGCTGTCCTAAAGAACAGTTGCTCAACAGCTGAAGACATTGGAAAAGCTGTGAAAAAAATCATTATCAACCTTCATCGTCACCTAAAGGCCAAAAAACGGCCAACTGAACTTCCAGAGGTTTTGCGAAAAGTCAGTAGGCCGAGCTAGCACGTGTCTTGGTAGTTGCACCCAACAGAGACCACCTACAAAACTTAAGTAATTTGCATCCCATTTTTTTTTAGCAATAGTTTCTTTTTAGGTGCCTTCTTGTTACAAACCAATCAGCGGCACACTGCACTGAAGTGATCATGTAACTTTTTAATGTTTATGCTGGAGCGTGTCATGATAATGGACTTGAGTTGTTATTCCCGAGTGAATGCTTATCATCGCAATTGTGTGTAATGAACTAGTGTCATGAAGAGCTGAGGTAGTTTGCTGTTCACATGTATTATATGCAGGACACAGTGAAACATTTCTGCCATTATGCTCGTTCATTTGTGACCTGCGTGGCCATGCCAAGTGTTTTTTGTTTTTTTTTTGTGGCGTCTTCATATATCTTGTTTTCCACGATTTTATTATTTTGTCATTTTACATGTTTTCACACACGTCCCTCAATTTCCCGAGTTGTAACCAAAGTATTTTACACAGCTGCTGTTTTTACATCTCTTTAGAGCGCATTCCTTTACTTTCTTGTTACGTTGAGAATATCAGTTGTTATTTCGCACATCAAACTTTATATTCATGTTGACTGTGTTATACACTGCAAAGAATATTTCTCGTACGTTTTTATCGTCGGTTATGTTTTAATTTTTTTGCATTTTTTAAACATATTCAGGCTAGTGTTAGAAATGATACTGAAGTGCGCCACAAAACAAATGGTTTCCGAACTCGCGGACCAGTTTTAAATGTCATGCTTTTGTGTACGGCAAGCGCTGGACTGAATTTTGGTGTAAGTACGTCACGGTCGCCACATTTTAATCACCACCTCTATATTGGGGTGCAAATCTGCGTAAATCGGCTCCAAGTAGCGGCCATGTTGGCAACGCTGTACTGTATGCGCGATCAATGTCTGCGCGGCCAGCAACTGGTGTAGTTCGGAGTTTCACTTGACTGCGCACCCTTCCTCGATTAACCCAGGAGTGTGTTTTCTTTGCGCTTCGAAGCTGTTCCGGCCTTCGATGCTTGTTGTTTGAAGGCAGGTTGTTGTGCACCGTTTGTTCTCGCCTCTGTGATCACCCCCCCCCCCCCCTCCCCGTCTATTTCGTGCCGTCAACAACGCAAACAGCCCTTGTGGAAGTCTACGATGGATAGTGACGTTATTCGCGACGGGATTATGATCGACGTTGTCGACTCGAAGTGGCGGGAAGACAAGCTGCCCGATGAAGACATCGCTGTACCGCTCATGGAGCTGCCGGACCCAGAGCCGGACAACAGCAACGTAAACGAAACTCTGAGGGAGCAAGAACAAAAATGGACTGACTTGGCGTTGAACCGCGTGAACGACCAACCTACGTCGACGATGACGAATTAAGGAATCTAGGCGCAAACTGCGTTTCGAGGAAGGATTGCCGTACACGTTTTTATACAAAGGTTTTTGTTAAATTTGCGTTGCGGTCCTCCGGTGCCGTTTTGTATTGGCCTGTCGTGTCTCCTTGCTGTACAAATCCATGTGGAGTGTTTTAGTGCAGCCCGACATCATTCTGTACAATATTTATTGAGCCATATATTTTTTCATGGCATAAAAAAAAAGAATACTGTGTGTGTGTACGTGTGAATTTTTGTCTAGTTGTGAGCGCTCGCGCGTAGAGCGGCGCTGTCGTCGGCGATTTCAAGCAGAAGTTTTTTGGTCGGCAACCAATCGCAGTCGACCAGTCAATTGGCTTGCACGAGAATGGCGGTTGTACTTCACGCAGGATCTCCATGACGGAAGAAAAAGGTCGGAAAAAATTTTCGTGTTCTGCGCGTTACGTTTCTTCGTGCACCGGTGCCAGCTACGAACGATAATGCGCTGCAACACTGATTTACTGCTCAGTGTTTTAGCTGAATGTAACTAGTGATCGACCAAAGGCTAGTGGTGCTCTGTTAGGCTTAAGCGAAGGTGACATCAAAATTTTTTGCGTAATGTATGAAATACAGGCGTCGTTAAATTTGCACGTGGTACATAGTGAAACAGTAGATTGGCCTACTGCAGTGCGTGGAACATTTTTTGGTACGTTACACTGTCGGTAATATGCGTATCTCGATACTGTGCCCTACATATTGAGACTGAGCTTCGGAGTGGAAAGACTTGGAATTGTACGGTATTATGTACTCGTGTCTCACAGCATAACCAGCTTTAAGCCCCTATTGCCCGTGTAAATGTTTGAGGAACTCGGAAAGTGCGCTGTCTTGGTCGCAAAAAGGCTGTGTGCCGTTCATGTTGCGTTTTCTGTATTGGTCCGTTTTAGTAGCTGAGGTGCGCACTTGGCAAGCAAGCAGACGGCGAAGCACGCTCTTTTGTTGTCGTGCGTGGGAATATGCCTTAATTTTCAGAGAGGTTCTGTAAAGTACATTAAAAAGTAATACACTGTTTTGACGTCTGGAAAGTGTCGCGGAGAGATGAGAAAAGCATGAAAGTGGTGGAGGGGTGTAGAATGTCCACACTAATATCACCGCCTCGGGAAGTGCTGACAAATTAAGCTTGCGCCCACGTTTGTGCGTAGAGAGTTTGTGCACATGCCAGGCCAGTTGGTTTGAAAGCAATAAAGACGCTTGTCAGTAATTTTTCAACGGAAGCTCGCGGCGGCGCGTTTCTGAACGCTGCAACATGCGCCCTCTGCGGCTTTTGGAAACGGAAGTTATTGGTTTGTTTGACACTTAGTTTTAAGCACGTTGTACAAAGTAAAGGGCAGTTTCTAGGTTCCTTCATGGTATGTAGAGCTCTCCTAAGAGAACGTTGAATAGCGACTGTTAGCATAGGCAAGCTTCTTTGATTTTCAGCAGGCGAGATTTTTACACATACGCTTGGCCATACTTGTATTGCAGCTTGAAGGGTGGTTTTCACCAGCTTAAAGACATGGCCAAGCTACTTGCCCTCAGACGACTCTGAACGTGCCATTTTATTTAGCAAGACCTGGCAAGCACTGATGGCCTTGCGCGTGCGCTTGTGTGTATGCCTTGCAGCAATGGAGAGCGGCAATCTCTCGCCCCTTGGTGGTTCCGAGGAGCATGATCCGCTCTGCGCCATATGCAACACTGGTTACAAGCAACCTAGATTACTGGCCTGCCTGCACACCTACTGCGAGGCCTGTCTCGAGTCAACGTTAGAAAAGCAGGCTACAACAAACAAAAGTGGTGCTGGGAAACACGAACTTGAGTGCCCCGAATGTGGCCACAAGACAAAAGTAAGTGCTTGCGCGAGTGCACGCACTTAACAGAGGATGTGAATGCTGCTTGCTGTTGCTAGGTGGTGGCTTACTTGTTAACCGCTCTGAGTTTCAAGATGCTCACAAGTAATTAACTGCTTGTCAGTTATATAAACAAGAGATCATTGGAGTATTAGTGAACAAAATGCAGGAAATAGATTGAGCCAGAGAATCAGCCAGTTTAGGTAACGGTACATTATAAAAAGAGACTTGAGTGCTGGACTGTTGTAAACGAATTAAAACTTGCATTCAAGTTCGGTAGTTCCTTAGTGCTGTCCCATATCGGAGGGGATGGCACCGTCTTTCGAACCTGGGAGCATTTTTTCAGCCGAGAGAGTTGTGTAGAGAGACAATGTAGGCAAAACTAATTTGAAATGTACCTTTCTAAAATTCAGAAAGAAACCACTTTATGGAGTCGGATGCTTTTTAAGCCAGAAATAGTGCAAAAATTGAATAATGGTGGCATAACTTCCTTCATCTTCCTGTACCAGCTGGCTGTAATAGATATTTTGATAGTGCCTGCATAGGCCTAGTCAATCTTCTAATGATGTACTATCTTGTGTTGTAACATAGCCATAAGATCAACTCCGCAAGTCTAAGGGGACTTGAAAATCTTCCAGGACCAAAATATGTAAACAAAACGGAACATGTAAAACTGTGTGGCATAATGAGTCACCAAAAACCACACGTACTCAGAGCTGTTTTTCTTGGTGCACTGCTTTTTGTGCTCAGTATGCACCAGCTGGGTTACCTACAATCAGTATTTCATTTAAAAGCTTACTGATATTGCACTGCTGCACTAGCACTCTGGATTACTTTTTCGAGGCAATTGCTGCTTCAATTGGTGTGCACAGCAATTGTCCGCAAGGGCGTAAAAACTCCATGCATTTGTTCTAGTGCACATGCTAGCCATCAAGTCGCAGGTACCTGTGTTTAGCGAGTGACATGTTACAAATCTCAAGTGACGCATATGTATCGAGGTGCAGGCACCTAGCTTGTGAAAGGTAGTAGTTTTATGTCCAAAATTGTGTACGCTTTTCAGATGTCTCTCACACATCAACATCGAAGTCTTAACTCGTAAGTAACTCCCCATTTGACGGGCTGACATTTACTGAATCAGATTCTAATTCAGCAGTCGAGTGGCGATTTGGAAGAATTATAACAACTACACGGGCGAGTGTGTGAAGGAAACTTCGCAGTTGTAACCGTGTTCGCAAAGAAAAACAAGTCTAAACCATTAGTTCTTAGTCTTATCGCCAGCGAGCAGAAGCGGTAATTCTTCCAAATGAGAAATGCAATCACAGCGGCATCGTTAGTGTCAGTCAGTGCCTGCACGGAAATAGGCCTAATTGCATACCTGGGAGAAATAAACGAGTGAGCAAGTTGGCCACTTTTTCAAAGATTCTAAACTGAAAGGCCATCAATCTTGCGTGTGCACCACTTTGGTGACTAAGTAGAGAAAGAGTAAGATGTTGAATTAGCAATTTTAAAGGGGGTGCTCAGGAAATGTGGCTACTCTGTTACTATCCTCCAGAACTGCCCGCGAGCGACGAGAAAGAGAGGAAGTTGTAATGAAGGTACATCAGTGTCTCTTTAAAAAAAAAAAGTGGCGAGTCTCACTTGCTACAGTGGATTGCCTTACCTTTGCGTGGGATGTTTCGTGCTTATGTTTCTGCGCAGAGTGAAATTGGTGGGCAGCCACTGCGTCACATTTTCTTGTGGATAGACAAAACAATTTTTGCTGGTGTTAATAATAAATAATAATAATAAATAATAAATAAATTGAGGACCCTACGTCACACGTAAATAATAATCAGTCTGCCTGGGTAGTTCAGATTTGCTGTTTTTCCTGACCAGATTCTGCTGCGGCGTGCCGCCTTGATTCAAGTTTCGTTTCCTGCACATGGGCACAATCATTTTGATATTGGCATAAAAATTCACTGATGAATAATAATTTGCCTGCAACTTTTGTGATTTCTGAAGAATCAGAATGCCATTAATTGCAATACAACTTCTTATAAACAAAAGCCCCGAAGTCAATAATTGGAAAGTGAAGTAGCAGGTATTTCGTATTTAGTAACTGCAACACCACTTTAGGTGCGACAAAGTATATCCACCTTGATCTATATCCATGTGCAACAATGGCAGCAGCCTGAGAGTCGTAGTCGATATTTTACATTAATGAAAAGAAGTGGGTCTTTGCTGACAATGTAATGTACAAGACAGACAACTATTGTCAGTTTTGAGCACTGTAATGGTTACCAAGGTATGGGAAACACAGCTGAGGACAGCAGCAAGTTAGATAGATTTGCTATGTCAAAAAGATCACTTGAATAAAATGGAATTGGCTCGCACAAGATTCATGGTTTCAAATTGCACAAGAGAGAAGCGAAGAAAACACAGGGACAGTTTGTGTCTCCTGTTCTTGCGTCATTTTTAACCATGAACCCACACCAACCAGCCAAGCTATCAGCGCTACTGATCGTACAAGATTGCTTAATAATAGAGTTTATTGGGAAAGGCCCTCAACCTGTAGTGAACATAAAAAAAACTACAAATGAGGCTGACGATGATAAGGGTAACTAAGACTTCTTAGGCAAACTTCGGCAAAACCCTACAATCCTTTACTTGAAGCAAACTTATTCTCTCTGTGTACTCGCTTACGATGGGGCAATCATTGGCAACCCAAGTTGCACTACATCATTTGCCTGCTGGAAAAGCGTGTGTACTAGTAATGGCTCCACTGGATTTACAGAAGAGCCATTTTCAAAATAGAGGGGGGGGGGGGGGCTTCATTGTCTGACCAACACTAGTTATTTATGTAAGCTGCCATATCTGGCCGATTATTACCGTCAACCGAGCAACACTGAGCGTTCGCTACACTCGGGACAGGACGCGGCCGCATCCAGTGTAGTTCGTTCGCGTTGTATTTTGGTTTGCTAGTGGACGGCTTATCGCAGTTATCGCTGTGGTTTCCCCGCTATAGTGGTGGCACCAACATGAGAACTGTGAATTATCTAATAATACAGTAAAACGTCGATGATTCGCACCTGCTGGGAATGCGGCATGATCATGCACTAAATAGCCGTGCGCGCTTACAAGCACAAATGTACATCTCCTGAAACAGATACAGTAACACAGCAGATGTTGCCGAAAGTACCCACCAGAAAGTCTTTTCTTCGTTCTGCAAAAGTGCAAATTCAATACTAAGCTTGCACTCTCAGAACGATCGTTTTATGGTGCGCAGTGCTGACGCTAAGGAGCATTTCGAAGCTATCACAGGGTGCGGTCTGTCCGGGATATGCAGCGACTGAAATAGCGACAGAACGGACACTGTCAGCTTTCCACGATACATATGTGCGCTTCTCTACCGCCATACTAAGCGACAACTGGCAGTTTCATTGAAACGCGGAGCGGTGGCGTAAGTTCGGATAATATCCTGGTCAGTTGCAAGCAGTGCGGTGCCTACTCTGCCCACGCTGCCGGGCGGCCTGGTTAGTTGCAAGCAGTGCGGTGCCTACTTTGCTCACGCTGCCGGGCGACTCGCGCTCCATTTCGCTCAGATTTGCTGAGTGTCTTGCTCATCCCCGTGCGGAGCACAGATGAGCAGAGTTTTGTGTTTAATTAGTGTCGGAGTAACAAACTTCCATCAAGTGAAGTGTGCCACTATCTATACTCTGTTTCACACATAAAGTGCAACAGCAATAAAGTGCAACAGCAGTTGCAATGCTGTGGTGGCTAGCGAGACTTTTTGCAGTAGGTGCGTTGACGTAAAGAAGTAGTTTGCTGTTTTTACTACGTGAAATATATGTATATTCTTTTATTCCAATCCAAGTAATAAATGAGCATGCGTTGTATCGCAGACACACACACATTTGGGGGTGGTAAATCTGGTAGCTCATTAGTACTGAATGTTTATTACAACCATTGCATTTAACTTTTTACCAGAAATAACTTTCATTGTCGATGACGTTGGACCCTAGAAAGCTGCTCCAAAAATAATTCGCGTTGCTCCAAAACAGACCTTTAGGTGCTCCGAACTTGCTCCAAAACTTTCCTTTTACTGCACCAGAGCTGCTGCGAAACAGCATTATTCCTGCTCCCGGAGCTGCTTTAAAACACTGAAGTCCACTTACACCACTGTGTGGACTAAAGAAGCTGATCATCCTGCAGACGAGTGCATTATGTGCTTGGTAGCAATTGTGTATTGCGGAAATACATGCACAATGGCAACACAACCCATCATCGCTTGAAATACTAGGTGAAGTGTAGCGTCCTCTGTTGTGTGTGCGGGTTCGCCTGTGTATTGAGGTCAGACACAGTGCCATATTTTGAAATATCTATGTGTTTGCACTGAAAGCTGTGCAAAAGTGCATGTACGCAAGTGCAGCTAACTTGAGCCAGAGTGTGCTTATTGCTCGAGATTCAAGCTATATGGCATGCATTACAAGGCGATGGATGATGGGAAAATATGAAGATGACACTGCACTAAATCTCTTTCTTACCGGGAATTTTAAGGTGTGAGGGATGGCGGGGGATGTGTGGTGTGCCACCCTCACACTAGGTTATGTTTGTCTACATTATTCTGAAAACATGATAAGAATTCAGCACTAGCAGATTACCTCACATTTATGGTTCTGAATTGTGAGACGTACATTTTCAAGAGGCACTAATATTGAATAATGTTCAAATTTGCCTTAACCTAAAGAAACTTAAACGGGTACTGACACGAAACTTATCACGTATCGTTTTTTGCGTCGAATGATAAACCAAGCACCCGAGAGAGTAGGTAATGTACCGGTAAGCGTGAGTGCGCCCTAGAAAATTAAATATATCATGCTTTTAATAGCTATTTTATGATCCTACTGTACCCCTGACGTCGCGGCATCGTATGAGCAGCTTCACCAGGCGGTAGTATGTGCACGCCCAAGTTTTCGTGACATATCCTCGTCCATGTGCTGTACTTCTTCGATCGCCTGCTTTGTCTGCTGCAAGTGTGGCAACTGCTGTGGCAGGCGGGCTCGACATTGTAATGGCATCACTTTTAAAGTTTTTAGTCAACAATCCGAAGTCGGTCGGCAACTGCATGCTGCACGTGTACATGTTTGAAGTGAAATGCAGTGAACAAAGTAAAGTCCGCTTAGTTGGCATCCAGTCTCCGCCTCGGCCGCTGCACGGGAAATTGATTCACACTTGTCTCAGCACCATACCAGACGGGAATCAGTGGAACTTGCGCCTATTGACCCCCGTTTAACTGGTGTAAGACTTCACAGGGCAAAGTATTGGTGCTATGACCACCAATTCGCAATCAAATGATTTCTTTGCCCTTTGATGAGTGTAAATCTTGTATTCGCGTGCACGTACACTATTCCAGACTCTGCTAGTTCGCTTCACAGGTATGCTGGATGAAAGTGACCGCACAACTGTGCGGCACGAGCAGACAATCAAGAAGGGGGCGTGCAAGCTGCCATTTTTCGTGCTTTGGTGCTTGACGTCATCACAACTAACCAGACCACTGCGTGAAGTCATTAGGAAGGATTAATACTGTAGCCTATTCTCAAGTTAGTGTCGATATCCGTAGGTGCGCTGCAATCGACTTTCATATCAAAATAAACTAACTTATTAGCATTTACGGAGCGTCACACTTGCTCAGAGCCGTCTCTCTATACAGAAGATTTGTATGGCAGAGTAAACTAGCCTCCGAAAAATGGTGTCTGTACCCCCTTAATAATTGCCAAAGGCTGTTAGTGCAAGGTTTCGTAGTTACGACACTACTGCGTATACTTGGGAAAGCACTGACTGCAGATGTTTCCTACAAGGGCTCTTAGGTGCTGCTATGTTGCCCGCTAAACTGGTGCATGTATGACCCCTCCACCCAGAAAAAGAAAAGGAAGGCACTAGCAAGGCAGCCACGCACCAGTCTTTGCACTCCTGTGTGTGTCTGATTAGAACTTGTGGTGTCTGTAAATAGCGAGCTAGCGCCACGCTCTTGGAGTGAACGGATACAGTAGATGCGGTCGGGGCAAACAAACAACTACATACATTTATTTCACTAATCTATAACAACGATATCGTTCGCCGAATGATATATCAATCGTGATCAACCCACTAAGACATCCTTACACACAATTTCCGTACACTCCGAAACAGACAATAACACGACAAACACACTAACACACCCAAGGCAGCGTCGCCAACGCTCGACTCACCATGTGGGCCTACCGCAGGCAGCCCGCAGTGCCGTCCGTGGCAGACCCACCGCGAGAGACAACCGTCCGTGGCAACCGCCACATGCAGAAGAGCCTCGCTCATCTCTCGGCCGCCACCAAGGCTTGCTTCCGCCAGGGGTCACCGCTGGCGCTACCACTCTACCAACTATGATGATGATAGTGGCGACCACCAGTCGCGTTCACAACGCCACTTACCGCCCGGCTGTTGTAACTCGAAATGCGGCTTTTGGGCGAGACATGTGCTCCACACAGCGCAAACAATTCTACAGGGGGTGTCAGCACCCCCACATCCTTTCAACCTTAATTCAAACCATATTCAGAAAAACAAAGAAATAGCTACACAAGCTCTAACAAAAAAAAATCAAAACACATGTCCCTTAATGTCCGTGCACCACGACACCACCGCTGGTCGACACTGCTGCACTGTCCGGCTCGACTTCACCTCAGTACCGGTCCCGCAACAGCAACGTTGCCGACGGCGCGACAAACCGTCACTAGCGCCGACACATTCCGGTTGCGACCAGCACTCACGAGGGCGCCGGACTGCAGGCAGTTGCGCAGGTCCCAGGCATCTCCATCGCCCGACCTTATCACCGCATTCCTGGCCAGCGGTGCTGACGGTGTGCAGAGGACAACCAGCCGCGGATTTCAACACTCCCGCTGCGTACAATAAAAAGAACAATGGAGCAGGGCTTAGGGAAGGGAGTTTCGGGCATTTCGCCCACGTGGTACGATTGTCAGTACTGCTAGCTAATACATCGGCGGCGTCCGAGACGCCAAACTCAAAAATAAAAGAAAGGTCACTTTCCTAATTCGTGCATCGCAAGGTAAAAAAAAACGTGAGGGAAGCAAAGCGCACTACCTCAACGCCATGATCCGCCTAGTTGTGCCACGTGCGACAGGCGGCTGCGCAGAGCCTTAGGCCTAATGAGTTGCTCGGCAACAACCGGCATCCACCCAGCACCCAGTCTAGGTGCAGAACAGGCAGCCGCGAGGAGACATGCACTCCGTGAGGTGGCCCTATGGCTCGCTGCACACAGCAGCTTACCGAGCGATCGGCGCCCACTGCCCCTGGTGGTGTCACGATGCCCCGGCGTCGAGCAGCAATACAAGACAGCAACGACGCCCGGCTCCCTGAGCCCAAAGAGATAGAAGAAGCTATTTACAGAAAATTGGACCACTCAGGAGGCTTCCGTACTCACTCGCTTCGGGCCTGGCCTACAAACCACGTACTCTAGGCCTTGCTCACCCCAGGATGCAGACCGCATGGCTCTCGTCCCAATTCAACAACGGTTTTGAAAACCAACACCAACAAAAAAAGAACAACACTTGCGAGCAAAAAGAAAAGTCAACCTGCTGACAAATTCAAACGGGTCACAAATACCGATCTCCTCGCTTTCAACAGAGCACACCGCCGACGCTAGCAAAGAAGTCCCCCTAGGCCTACTCTACCCCGGCTCTAACAAAAGCTTGCACCGAACAGCGAAAACTGTCGTCAGATACTCCAAGAGCTTCACGTTGGGCAGCCAGTGTGGGGGTCTCGATGTGGCGGGCGATATGCTACGCCACGCTCTTGGAGTGAACGGACGCAGTTGACACGGTTGGTACAAACCAAAGAACAATACACATTTATTAACTAATTTACACGACGATATCGTCTGCCGAATCGATACATCAATTGTAATTAACACGCTAGGACATCTTTACACAATAACACGATAAACACACATGGCTCAAGGCTGCGTCGACAATGCTTGACTCACCACGTGGGCCTACCGCAGGCGGCCCGCGGTGCCGTTTACGGCAGACACATCACGAGAGACAACCGTCCGCAGCGACCGCCACGCGCAGAAGAGCAACGCTCAACTCTCGCCCGCCACCAAGGCTTGCTTCCTCCAGGGGTCACTGCCGGCGCTACCACTCTGCCAACCATGATGATGATAGTGGCGACCACCGCTGGCGTACACGCCACTTACCGCCCGGCGGTTGTAACACGACATGCGGCTTTTGGGCGAGACAAGGGCGCCACGCAGCGCAAACAACTTTACAGGGGGTGTTAGCAGTCCCACAAACCTTTTTTGTGGGAGTCTTGTAAATAGCGTATGAATCTGTTGACAGTGTGAGGTTAAGTGTGCATGACGATGACCGGTACTGCGTAAAACATAAGGCTCGTGCCCCCCCCCCCCCCCCCTTCTTCCCCATTTTTCACTGTGGCATATAGAGCGAGAACTTATCACCTTAAAGTGGTGCCACATCCTTAAATCAAGGAGGTGCGCTTCCCTTCCTCCCACCCCCGAAAAAAATTTGGCCTTAGCCTGAAAAATTATTTTGCTATAGCATAGCTCAATTTGAGCCTGAGGGAAAGATACAATTGTGAAGAAACAAATGACAAGCAACAGAATGAGTGCTCGTCTTGTTGCCTGTTATTGCCTTATTTGCTGTTGTCTCTTTCCTTCAGGCCTAAACAAAACTGTGCTTTAGCAGAATGAGATTGTATCTCACCAACTTGCCCAATCGGCAATGATGCATGAAACTGTTTTCCAGTTGGCTTTCAACATTATTTCTATCAGTGAAACATTTCAAAGCTATTTTGTTGCAGTTAAATTGTTTTGAAGGGGTCATTGCAACATACAACCTATAATTGCTGCTGTATTTTCAGAACACCAGAAAAATACACAATGAAAGAAACAAATGGAAACTTTTAGTACTATTCCCAAAAGCTGTCACATGGGCTCTTGAGTGCCATAGGCCTGCCCTTATAGTCTCAGAAGATGTCCACAAGTATAGCACCTAGTTACTCCTCCAGTAACATGCTGGGCATGCAATGTTGCTTATAAGGTACCTTTATAAATATGCATGCTTTTCGACTTTTTCCTCTTATTCTGTTTCCAGTTCTTTGTTCTCGCTTCTTTTTCTATTAACTCTTTCTCAAAACCGGCAAGTGTTGCACCCCTTCTGGTGGCAGTTGCCAGCTTTTTATTCTCACTTTTATCTCCATGTGCGAACACCGTAAAATAATAACCTCTCTAGCAGTCTTGCAACCAAAAGGCTGGCCTGGCTTGTAGAGAGTAGTCAGAATAGCTGTGCCCTGTCCTTTACAGATATTGGGTCGAGGTGTTGTGGACAGCTGCCCTCTGGAGCATGTGCTGGTGAATGAGCTGGATCGTGCGGCACTGGAAAGTCTAAGCATGGTGTGCACCTCCTGCAAGGCTAAAGAGACTGCAGTTGCTCGCTGCAACGACTGTGCCTCCTTCTTGTGCAACAACTGTGTTACCGCGCATCGCTACATGCGCTGCTTCGAGAGCCATGCTGTGGTGACCTTTGAAGAGCTGGGAGGCGCATCGGACCCCGAACAGATGGCTCAGGTTCACCGGCCACTGACCTGCGTCACCCACACCAGCGAACTGCTCAAACACTACTGCATGACATGCCAGGCAAGTGTTCTTCTTTTCCTTTCTTTGGCGATGACGTCAGCTTGAACAGGTTTGTGCGCCATAGCGAGAAATGTGAGACACCAACCCTGTTTCAGTGTGCAGAGCAGTGTTGCGGAATGGGTGCCTCCATTCTATTCCAATTCCATTCCGAGAAATTAGGACTTGCCGCAATTTCGTTCCTTTCAATTCCCCAGAATGAAAAAAAAAAAACAGCCCATTCCTACAACCGGTAACAGGTGGACAGGTCGATTCCATTCCTACAATTCTTCAACATAGGAAAGGCGTCTTGATAGCTTTATCGAACTAAGAGTGAATGCACCATAAAGCTTATGTCATTAGATGCATTATGAACTACAGAAGTGGGCAAAACGCATCACCACGGCGGAGGGATAGTGGCTAGGTAACCTGTCTCGTGCAGTACAACTACACTAACAATTTTCATAGGGGCAGTTCTCCTGATACCTATAGTAGTATTTGCATTGTCAGCACACTCTTAGAAAAAAAATTAGTAAACAGTTGGCCACGCAAGTATTTACTTGTTTCGAGTGTATTTTACTTCCTTCGCGGCATCTCATTACTATAGCCGCCAGCAGCTAGTGAAGCTTGAAAGTTGCCGTTACTAACAAGGGAAGCTGTCTTGGTCTTTTTAACTAGGTAACTACTAAGCCACATACAATGCCAGATTTTGTAAACACATTCTTATATCTTGCAGTAATCCCGATACTCCTTGAAAAATTTTAGACCAACCTTAACTTTGTTGATTGCTTTGGAATAGAGAATAGAGATTTTTTGCTAAGTGATGACACACATATATGCAAATAGGAGGGCAAACGATGATGTGTACAAAGCATCCATTATTTTACTAAATTCTGTGGCTGCTGATCGGTACACACTGCTATTCCAAAGTAGGGGCATATATAGCTTTTGTACAGCTGCTACAGTACTTGCCGACTAGGTCATGATATTCTGTGAGCACTCTTTTTTTTTCTCGATTCGATCATGCCTCTATGTATGTTGCTATGATGCATACTTGTTATGGTAATTACATCAAGTGATTAGTTACTATTTGTTTAAGTGGACTATGATACTTTGCTTATGATTCTGTATATACTTTTGTAATAGAAAAATTCTGATGTGGCAATACTCACGCTCATAAAATGTGCATTAACTAATGATTTAATAATATATTAAGCATTTGAGTGAGCACTTAATAGGAGGTTGGTTCTTTTGGGGACAAGTAAATTGTTAATATTTAGTTTGAGAATATGTAGACCTTTTTTGAGGGGTGCATGATTGAACAAATGTTGATGTTTTAATAGAGAGTTTTCGAATAGCTTACGCTAAGTTAGTGGACGTTGCGAGTGTAACATTTGTGTATGGGCACGATACGAGTTTTCTAATAGCGTTTGTCCCCTGCAAATGCTGACTCATGCTCGAGTCACTGCAAAGGGGCCTTGCGAGCAGGACATTTTCTGTTGAGCTATGTGTTAGCAGGAGACCTATGTGTGAGAGAGGAGAGCTCGGCTCTTCGGGTCTCTAAGCTGTCGGCCCCAGTGCCGAATTTGTAATGCCTCTGTATATATGCTGTACATAAACCTTGTTTAACTCACCGTCGTCTCGTCCGCTCGTCTATCAGCTCTGCGCAGAAGCAGTCGCGAGCTGAGAAAGCTACGCTACTTAACGGTATTTTTTTTCCTGGGCGGATCACAAACGCTGATAGCGGTTAACGTTCATGTGCTGTGGTAGCGACCGCAAGGGACAGCGTTTGCGTACGGTATTCGGGAACTCCCTAATATTATTTAAGCTTTCTGTGGCAGCCTAGTGTTCTACTGCTGAGCTATGCCGCTATATTGTTTTAGCTTAGACGCATTAATGCTGCAATGACGACCTAGCGAATCGTCGCATACGGATTCGGGGAGGCGCTGCCTTGGTCACGTGGGATCGCCTGCATTGGCTGGCTACCCGAACCAATGCTGTACAGTTTGTCTTGTACAACAGTTCATCATGTACAAATGTGTGCTGCGCTGACCTACTGATTTTAGCGATAGAGCTTCGAGCAAGGGCGCCCATGTGTGTGGGCGGGGGGGGGGGGGTGCAGTATTGAAAAAAAAAAGAGGGGGGGGGGGGTAATATGAGGTGAGACAGCGCGCAAACTACTATATGGAAGCTTGCAGTAAACACTTGCAATGTGCCAGTGTAAATATGCGTCACAATTTAGAGACAAGTGCTTTTTCGGCTATGCGGTTCGAATCACCAACGGCAGCAGAAGGAAAAACAAAGAAGTGAGGAATGTGGAGACAGCAGGTGACTCGGTTGCCACAGAGGGGGAAGAAAATCTCAAGGCGTAAGGGGGTATGCTGCCACCGTAGTTCCGCATGACTGATGTTATGCCATGACTGATGTTATGCCATAGAGCCGTGATTACGCAAACAATAAAGAAAAAACTTTGAAGCAGCACAGTATGTAAGAACAGAATTTAAATAGGCCCGTTGATAATAAATGTACCTTGCTTGAAATCAACAGAGCCCATTCAAGTGATTATTTTTAAATTCAAGGGTCTCACTTACAAATGTTCAAAGTTACAAATGACGAAAATGTGCTCCATTTTTGGAAAAAGACCTGATTCATTTTGATTCCGGAGTGGCAACTCCCCAACTCGTGTGCAGAGTGTACAAATCGACTGCTTAACGTTAATTGATAAAGTGCAGAAGTCTGCCATCACTTCGCTATAGCGGATGATGCCATAACTAATAGGTTTTGAGCTGGGGTGGCCCTTACATTGTCTGTTTCTATGTAGGATTGACTTGACTTGCCATTCGTTCGTAACACTGACTTTGTGGTGCTCATTGTTTGTGCTTCAAGTCCAGCGTGCATTTAAAAAAGAACGAAAACAGCACATTAGAATGGTACCCTTTAAGTATGTTGCTCATTAATGGGCCCTTTTTTGTATTTCAGTGGCCTAGGTGCTGTCCTATGCATGGATTGCATTGTTGTGCACTACTTTCGGAGCAGTTTTTAACCTTATTTATCTTACTTTTGTGTGTGTGTGTGTGTGTGTGTGTGTGTGTCACTGCTTGGAGAGTTGAGCTTTCATCTGCGTTGTGCAGGTACCTATCTGCAATGAGTGCACGCTAGGCGAGCACAAACCCCCTGAGCACGAATGCGAGCGTGCTTCGGAGGCGGGCACCAAGCAGAGGGAAGAGCTCACTGCATTGCTAACGGAAAGCAAAAACCACCTGCAGTCTTTCGAAGAGTCTCTCGATCTGCTGCAAAATGGTCTCACAGATCTGCAGCAGCAGCGGGACACAGCCAAGACAATAATCCAGGTGTGGAATTATTTGGTAGAGATGAGTTCAGGCAAGGCTGTAATTTTGTTAATGCATAGCTACCCCCACCTGTGACAAGAACATCAGAAGCTGGGGTGTTTAGTTTGTTATTTATGACTGCATGAGTTAAGGAAGGTGTATTAACAAAAGAAAAGGAAAATGGCAGTGGATGTTTTGACAAACCTGCCATAGGTTAGGGTTGAATCCACTCCTTTTCTACTACTACATTAATGCACTGTCATATAGCCACTGCAGCAGGACACCCTATCCTATATTAACCGTTTGTTTAATGAGCTAGATCTAGCACTGTATCGGCTCTGATATTTTCACATCAGCTTGTGTAGATGTATACATGCACAATCCTGTTAAAAAAGCTGGCATTTCAGCTGGCTTAAGGCTGTGCAAAAATGGTTCTGTGCCTCATAAGTTTTGTTCTAATTGCAGGATACCTTTGAGAAGTACAAGTCCTTCCTGGAACAACGTCAAAAACAACTCCTTGAAGAACTGGAGGACTTGCACTCTGAGGAAGAGCTACACATAATGGACTCGCTTCACCTAGCAGAGAAGACTACCATGCACATCGAAGAGGCCTGCAACTTTGGGAAACGTCTGCTGGAAAATGCAAATGATGTTGAGCTCCTGGCTCTCAAAGAGGCAAGTTGTAGCTATGTTTGCTTTTTTTTTAGTGTGTGTAAAAAAATTTGAAGCTAATTATTGCTCAAGAGAGGGGAGGGGGGAAGCTTTATGGAAAATGCAGAAGTATTCCATCAAGTGTAACGTCAACATGGGTTTGCTGTATTCTGTCTTCAAGGGCATGCTCAGATGTGTGTTATAAAAAGCCGTGATGGAAATGTAAATAAATCGGTTCCTGTGGCTGTCTACCATAAAGAAGAATTGCTGTTGCAATACTACACTGTGCTCAAGTGCACACCTGTGAAATGCAGATAATTTTATTAAATTATTTCAACATCACTTTACGTGAGCATTCTTTATGTGCAAAGTCCATTTTGCATTACTAGATTTTAGCCAGATTGTTGCAACGTAGGCTCTGATTGAAACTGTAGCTTGGTAAGCTACAATTTAGCACCTAAGTTGGATTTTTCTGCTGTTAGGTCAGTAGAAATTCAGTGTGACAGTGTTATTCATGCTGTAGAGCTACAGCTGCATCGGCCCCTGTATTTATAACGACTGGCTGTATTGTTGATGTATAGGCATCCGCATGATCTCTTGAGTGTGCGACAGCAGTGTGTTTGGTTTTTTCTCTCCTCTTCATCAAGGTGGTGAGCACGCGCCTGAGAAGCCTCATTGCAGACACCCCAAAACTGGAAGCGCCGGGTGAAATGACCTTCGAGTTCGATGTGGAGAACTTTGAGAAAGTGCTGCCTTCTCTCTGTGGCCAGCTGCGACGGCCTCATATTGCATCTGTACCTTCACCGCCGCCTCCGCCGGCAGCGCAAGCTCCTCTCTCAGCATCGCCAACTCCTTCTTCCTCTCCCGTTGGTTGTCTTGGAGGCAATGCTTCTTCCTCGCCCATCCATTCTGCCTCCTCCTCCATCGGCGGGGGCAACGTGTCTCCACTGCATTCCGCAGCATCGTCACTCGGGAGCGGTGTCAGCAGTGCACCTATGGTTGTCGGGTGTGCCAGCATGTCCCCCATTCACACCAGTGCATCTCTGGCTGCAGTTGCTGGTGGCAGTTTGTCACCACCTCTGCATCATTCTGGAGCACCATCGTTGGAGGATGCTGCAGCAGTTGGAGACCCGTTTGCTGCGCTTTCCGCCGCAGCACCTCTAGAGGTTGGTCTGCTGACGAGTGCAGCAGCACAGTACAACCTAGCGCGGCTGGCAAATATGGCCGAAAGCCCCGAAGACAATGAGTCAACATCGGATGGCACCATCACAATGGCAGACCTGCTGCTGGACACATCACTGAGTGTATCGGCAGCTGAACAGAATGTGCTGAACAACCTGACTGCCCTTGCCAAGCTCGGCTCGGTGTCACTCAATAACGCTGGTATGTCTTCACTTTTTTATGGTCGGTAAACGGTAAACGGGCTCGGAGTTTTTCCTAAAAAATGACATTCCCTAAAAATGGTCAGTCGCACAAAACCGGCGAGCACATTTTGTAAATATTGCAGCGTTGCACGCTGCGCAGGTCCTCCATTTAAAAAAAAAAAAAACAATTCCCGCGCTTCTTTTTTATGCCTGTCGAATCCGCCTTGTAGTCAAAGGTGCAACAGCTATGCTAGTTGCACAAATTTGATACAATTTCTAATTTTTGCACTGAGTTGCACTAAAATTTCTGTTGCATCAACTTCAAGAAATGGAGGCCGCGATGGTCACTGATTGATACAATTTCTAATTTTTGCACTGAGTTGCACTAAAATTTCTGAAAAAATTTCTGTTGCATCAACTTCAAGAAATGGAGGCCGCGATGGTCACTGGCAGTTTAGGCATAATCAACCAATCCATTCCGGACGAGCAGACCTTCACCCTGAACCACGGTGTCAGAAATCTTAGGTGTGACCTTAGGTGAGGTCTTAGGTGACGCAATCCAGCAGATAAAGTGACAGCACTACGCGCCTATCTCGTTCGCTGACCACAGAGGATACCTATTGGTGGTGGGACAACGCAACTTAAAATTTTTAACAAATAGCATTGCTGAAGCCATCAACACTTTACAGTAAATATGAATTTTACCAAGTCAGCAAATGCTGCTACGACATGTTATAAACTAAAGCTGGAAACTTACACCGTGTTTTCCGCATACGAGCAAGCGCAGTGTGCTGCGAACGCCGGTGTTGCCACCGACCAAATCGCTTCCTATAGCAACAGCCTATGAAGCATTTTGTGTCTTGATTAGGCTTGTGCCAATAGTGAATTTTAGGTTCGAAATGAATAGTGACATTGTTCAAATAATTTCTAATCAAATTAGAATACTATATATCAAATATAATTTTAAAAAAAGCCATATTTGTGATGATCCAAGTAACCTGTGCAATAATATATATGTATATATATATATTAAATTAAAACAAGCCCTGTGCAAAAAAAGTTCAAAGGAAGTGAAAGCAACTTTGAATAGTTGCATGATCTGACTTTGGTAAGTAAAATGAAAGTGATAATCTGTAAAATATGTTACATAATGAAATTTACTATACTAGGAGCGTGTAATCCAGTACAACAAGCTTTTAACTTCAAAAATGACGAATCAATGTGCTCCGGACATTTAACCTTGTAATGAGGGCTTCGCAGCAGTGTGAATTTTCTCTGGATAGGTGCTTTCACAGTTTGCCACTGCAGTGAAACCGCCTTCACAGGGGGTTTCATGCAAATACATGCAGACTAATATACACCTCCTCATTCATTTCGAATCCTTCAAAATTTTTAACACTTTGAATTCAGATCAAAGTGACTTAGAACAAAGTAATATTAGTTCGAAAATAGCACAAGCCTAGTCTTCAGATTGTGTCATCCCACCGATAGATATGCAGTGCTGTCAACAAACCAACGTATGTGATTGAACGCGACTTGCGAGCGAGCAAAGAAATTATGCCCTAAATACAATCTCATCATGAAAGATCAAAAAGGGCAACTGTTCCAAAGTTTCTTGGCCTTGTTGTGTCCTGTGCAGAACACTGCATAAGTCACCTTGGCTGATGCCCTGCGGAAAAGCATACCAAGATATAAAGGGGGCTGCTGCACTACTTACGGGACGCTGCACATATTGTTCCTCATTTTACTCTTGCATGTATCTGTTGCATGATTGTAAGCGCTAGTATGATCGCTGACGTCTAAAAAAATGACAAAATCATTTGCAGTTGTGTAAGACATTTTTGCATCTCTAGGAAACAGTAAATAGTACCATACGCCAACGTTTTTTTTTTTCTCTCTTTTTCCAGCTCACTTTTTACTGCGTTATGAATCTCCCAACATTGAATGCCATCAGCTTGGGAAACCGACATTTGAATGTGCAGTCTGTCAAAGAATTCGACAGGCTAATGGTGACTTCATCATTGTTTGCACATTGGTGTTAACTGAGAGAATAAAAATTCAGTATACAGTAGGCACCCATTAAAATGAACTCGAAGGGACCACAGTCATTTGTTGCGTTATCAGAAGTTCAGCTTGAAAGAAGTGCCCCCCCCCCCCCCCCCCCTTAAAGGGGGACGCGGCTTTCAAAAACCGAAAAATCGCGAAAAAAGTCGATTTTTGAAAACCCATATATTTCGATAGTATGTGTCATAAACTACCTTTAGTGTAAATATCGGCGCCTAATTTGCCCTATAAGGGCTTTAAAAAAAAATTATTCGCAAGCCATGGGAGCTGCCAAGCTGCGAGAAATAGTTGAAAATTCCCCAACTTCGTGCACATGCCGCTTCTCCGCCTGTTACCCGAGCATTGCCATCTTGGTTTTGTTTTGTTTGTAAATTCTTGCTCTTTTTCGTTTTCCCCGCCATTAGTGCTAGGCCTGGTGGCATGGTCGAGGCATAACTCGCTTGTGATTGGAGAGCTCACGGGGTGTTTAAAAGCCCCGCTTCTCAAATCCTGAGCTACAATTGGGTGGAACGTGCGCTCCTCGAGAATGAGGGGAAGCAAGTGGCTGCTATCAGCTGCTGCGGGCACGCACATGTTCGACTCGCATCCATGTTGCCGGCTACCACGCGTCTCCTTGTCTGCTTCGACTTCTTTGTTGGAAACGTTCTTCACGTGCTTCTTCGTCTTGGGCTTTTTTTTTTTGCGATCAGTCTAGGCACTGTTGTTCAAACCGTTTTTACGAGACAATAATCGTTTGACGCGGCCTGCCGGTCATTGCACGATTGATGAGTTCTGCGCGTTCTGCCGAACACGCACCTGACGCAGCTTTCCGTGTCGAGAAGGCCTTTCACAAAAATTGTGCGCGTTCTGTTGCGATGGATCGCACCTTCGAGCAGAAATGCAAGACTCTGCTCGCTTACGGAATGCGAAAACGCCATTCACCTAATCCTCGGCGATCGCGAATACCTTCACCAAGTCGTCCGTCAATCGCAGAAAGTGATGCTACTTTGGATTCTCAGTCGTCAAGTGATGCAGTGAGCAACGCAGAGGAGATGCTACGCCAGTGTGTGTCAAGCTCAGAAGACAGCGACGTTGATGCTACCGTACATCGACGTGAGGCCGCACACTCTCCTAACGAGGATCGCGCTGTTCAGTGTGGCGGTGAAACAGGTGACGGCGAAATGATTGACGCGCCGGCAGATGTTGACAAATCCGCAGGGTGAAGCTGCGATTGTGCCCGGCAAGCGTCGTACTGTTCAGGGACACATTCAACCGAGTTTTGTGTCAGCGGAAACCGCAGAAGCTCAGTCGACCAGCGTTCGCGAGTCGCTCGGCGCGATGTTCACTACTAAGCAAAAGTTTGCACTGACTGCGCCGCAAGAACGCGCAACTACGCCGACGCCACAGGAAGAAGAAGAATACGAGAATACGTCATGATGCAGATGGGCATCCTAAACGCGATTATTGGGAATACCCTCTGCCCTGTTTGTCATGAGCAAAGTTTGGTTGTGGATCGGGACACAAGGCATAAACTTGCCGTGAAAATGGTGGTCACATGTTGCTTTTGTGGCTCAGCCAACACCCATTGTACTTCGCCAAGAAAACCAGGTGGTAGAGTTTTCGACGTGAATGTACGGTCTATGCAGGCAATAAGGTGCATCGGTAAAGGGCCTACTGCTCTAAATGACTTCTGGGCAGTGATGAATGTCTCTCACAGAGGGCTGCATTAGAACACCACTTAGAACATTAGAACACCATCAACACCACTTGAAAAAGGTGCCGAAGCCAGCTGCTGAAGAAGCTGCAGAAACAGTTTTCGCAGATGCTGTAGAAGTTGTGAAGAAGACTTATCAGAAAACGGAAGTAAACTTCACTAAAAACATTACCGTGTTCTATGACGGCACATGGCTGACACGCGGACACAAACTCGCACATTGGTGTAGGCTGTGTGATGGAATTTTATACTGGACTTGTGCTTGACTGTACAGTCCTGTCCAACTTCTGCCTCGTGTGCTCACTAGGTGCAGCTGAAAAAGACCCTGCACATCAAGAGTGGAGGAAGATGCATGTTTGTCAAAAAACACAAGACGTAGCTGCAGGAAGCATGGAGGTGGAAGCTGCACTGCAGCTTTTTTTGACGCTCCCTCAGTAAAAATGATCTCCGTTACACGAATATCATCTGTGACGGCGACAGTCGTCGTCACAGATGATACTGCGCGAACAATGTTTAGAAGAGGATGGGCACGGCGCTCTGTTCTCTTGTAAGCAAGTCTAAGAAGGGAGAGAGACACTCGGTGGAAGAGGTGGCCTGATGCAGGACTTGATCAAAAGGCTCACCAGCTATTATGGCCTAGCACTGCGAAGCAACACGGACGTCGAAGACATGAAGAAAGCAGTGATGGCCACCTTTTATCATGTTTTATCGACAGATGCAGAACCTCATCACGAGCTCTGTACTTCCGGTGCCCGCGGTTGGTGTGGTGCAGGCACCGTGTAGCAGTGGGAGAGGGGAAGCCCCAACCTCCACACAAGTATAACCTGCCCAACGAAGTTGTTGAAGCGTTGCGGCCAGTGTACCAACGCCTGTCCGACCCTCAGCTGCTGGCTTGCTGCAGTGGCAACAAGATGCCAAATGCCGCTGAAAGCCTTCACTCGGTGATTTGGTCACTAATTTCTAAGTAGCAGCATGCCTCCCTCTTCACTATGGAAGTAGCAGTCCATGAGGCAGTTATTAGGTACAATGCAGGCAACTTTCAAGCTTACACAAAGATTTGTGCTGCAATGGTTGTGCTACTTGGGGCCTTTACCCTCCTCAGGGCTGCTGAAAAAGATGCTCAGCGAGCAAGGAAATTATCACACGAGCATGAAGTGAAAGGGCAGAAACCCAAAAGGTTGCCTCTACACAAGGACACCAAGGGCTACAGTGCTGGTGCGTTCTAACAAATGCAAATGACTTCGAAAACTTTGATAGCCGTTTTCTCACAAGTGTGTGTTTTGGACATTGTACATTGCTCGTGGAAAGAGTAGCACGGGAATGACTGGACCGATTTAGATTTTTTTTCCTGAACCCCTGAACACTGCTTGTGGGTACAACATTCTTCAATTTCTTTTTTATGGCCCAGTTTTTTTTTCTAGACGACGATTTGTCTATGCCACTGTTTCTGACATTGTGTGTCGGCAGCCATGATGATCTCTAAAAAAAAAAAAGAGAGAGAGCTTGATAAAGAATTCTAAGAGTGTCATACCTTGTAGCCTTCTTTTGAGTGAAGATCAACACCGTTCGCAGCATCCTGGCATGTTTCGTTACAGTGCCTAGGCTTTCCACGAGCAGACTATATAATTGGACCATGTAGCATGATGTAACTTGAGATTTACTCAAGGTATCATGATAAAACTGCATATTTCCTTATTCGAGACTCTTATAAGTATGCATGCCAAATTTCATTGCTGTAGGTCAACAAACAAAAAGTTTTTTTTTAACGCCACCTCCCCCCTTAAAAATACATGTTAGCATGCCAAGTGCACCCAAATATGCTTCTGACAACCCCAAATATAATAAATTAACAGTTGGGTGGAAATAATAAAAATATTTATTGGCTCAACTTGATAGAAACTATGCATTTCAATGGAGTATTTACATGAATTTATTGAGCACACGATTGTGCAGGTTCATAATAAATATGCTTTTGAATGTATTGCTAATACATTTTAACAGTGAATCTCTTAGCGGGCATTTGAACCAGGGAGTGAGGGTAGCGCTGGTTTCGTGCTGTGCCTTTATTGTCAGCTTATCTCACTCCCTTCCTCCGCGTTGCGATTCTCACAGCGTCCTTGCGCCAGGAAGTGCTTTTTTTTTTCTTTTTGCTTTCTTTCCTTCACTTGAACGCCCCAGCAAGACTGCCATGTTCGTTGCACGGAATCGCCAGCATTGTTTGTCATGATGAAAATTATCACTGCGAGAGACCTGTTATTTTTTTTTCTACTTTCTTTTTTTTTTCCCATTGAGTATGGGAAACCAAACAAACGTTCTGATGTTGTGCGGCATTAGCGAGAATTTATTTCAACGGTTAAACGGTTATTTGTACTAACGGGAGTTCATTGTACTGATTTTATTGAAATCGCAGTGATCATGTGCACTGTGCATGATGTTGAATGGTTTGTACGTATTTTTGTTTCCGAATAGCCTTCTTTGTTATGTTGCTCCAAATTCGAGATTTGGTAATAAAAAATTATACCCCCCCCCCCCCCCCCTCGTTACCTGTTTCAAAGCTGGATTTTCGTTCAACAGCCACATTTTGCTGCCCCAAAAATTGTCCATATTCTGTTCCGGCTATTGCATGCATTCCTGTGCGCAGCGATCAAAAATAGTGCATATGCAGCATAACGCATCACTGAGCTTGTTGGTTGGTAATTGCACTACAAGACGGCACTTGGCCATGCGGTGGCGCAGTTTTGGCCATGCAGTCAGCACTTGCGTGCTGCCTTCTGCCGTATTGTAGAGCCCAAGAGTACTGGGACAAGTGGCATTGCCAGAACAAAAGCCTCTGAGAAGAAGAGGCGTTGCAATACTTTACACCAGAGAAGGGGTACCTACACCAGTGGCTCGTACTCCACGCAGTGCACGGTGCCACTATGGCACATGCACACATGGTAGCAGCCCTGTGCGGTCGCAAGAAAAGGCTGCGCCTACTCCTTTGCGCTGGGAAAAAAGGGTAGGAAAGATGAGCAAGAAACTGAAACCAGTCAAAGCGGCTCGTTCCAAACCCTATAACTTCCGCATTACAGCACTGTTTTTGTGGCAGCATGTTTACATTGCGCTTATACGTGCACAATTATTTCTCCATCAGCATATTTGAACCGCAAGGCTGGTTTACTGATCCTTCGAAATGTCCCCTCCTCCTCCTCCCCCTTTTTTCAAGACTCTCTACCTTGTACTTGGGGCCTTATTGACCACTCTTTAATGCTATTGCGAATTGGCACATGCTGTGTTAGCTTAGAGGCGAACGTAATGTACGGTTAAGCTTGAGGGCATTGGTTCGATTCCTGGCCACAGCAGCCACATTTTGAAGGGCAAATCACTACCCATGCAGTGTTGAATGAAAATATGACCTTTCATGCAAAGTATAGTTTTCAACATTCTTTTTTTTACAAGGAAAGTGGTCTAATATCTTTCAAAAGCAAGGTGAGAACCTGAATTAGTATGCCTCCATTTGCGGTGGCCATGTTTCATCTTGTATCATCCTGTGCTAAATTGAGAACCAAGAGTACCTGTTAGCAGTATCATATAATTTATCTCGTCATTATGTACTGGCTAAAGGAAAGTACTGTAAATTTCCTTTATCAACTAACATCTTTGTAATCTTATGTAGCTAGTATAGGTTTAGCTGGTAACTGTGAGCAGCTGCAGGAAAAACTACATGGTTGCTTAAAACTTGTTGCAGCAGTGTCTTTGGTGCAAAGAACTTCCATTTTTGCTAAATACATCTGTTCTGTTTGTTTTCACTGTGAGCTTATTCTATTCCTTCAAGAGTCCAGCATAGCATTTCCTGGGCTTAGGATGACGTAGAGTGACGAAGATGTGAACCCGTGTAAATGGTAGTTGACTCCCCCTCCCCGCCCCCTTCCCCCCCCTCTTGAAAAGTTTCTGGCCGGGTCTTGGTGAGACGTACTATGCAGCAGGGTAAAATAGAATCTGGAGTTATGAAACACTACGACGTGCTTCATAATCTGTTTTTTCCTTCAGGCCAAATCATGTTGAATGGCCAGGTGGTGCCGGGGCTGACTCTGGAGCCAAATCCACAGACGTCTCCTCCTCCCCCTCTGCTCTCCTCTGGGCGGCCAAGCAGCAGCAGCAGCGGAAGCCTCATGGGTTCCCATCAGCAGCTGCTGGACTCTCTGCTCAATGGCTCAGCACTCTCCCCACGCACCTCTTCCCGAGGATCACCCATGCTTGACAGCCTGGTCAATGGCAGCTCCATGTTGGGACAAAGGGTGCCCATCCTGGCAGCTGGCAGTGGCCTCGGTCAGTCTTCTTAGCCACGTTACTCATTACTACCGCGAACCATTGCGCTAAGCTTTGTAATGTGCGCGTCAGGCCCACTTTCAAAGTTGGTGGAAAAAGCAAGGAGGCTTCACCACCCAACAAGCGGGAGTACAGAGCAAAGGGGTCGCGGCAATGCGCAGATAAGAGAAAAGGTCCCTTTATCTCATACTGTGTGCTGTCATCATCGATGACTACTGGGCACGGTCGCTCAGGGGCAAGCAATCTCCTCTGTTTGCGTCAACTTTCGATAAGGGCGGCTCAGCGTAGTAGGACCACATGGGAACACACTGCACCACTCTTTGACCAAGCATGCGAAAGGGACAAGGTTACGTGAGCACTCGCCACTGGCGCAAGGCGCAGTTATTATCTTGTTTTATTTTTAATTCACTTTTTCAAGGACCCCTCTCCTGGCCATGTAAAAAGTTGTAAGCGAATTCCGTCCAATAACTTTTGCTGAAGAGACCATTGTATGCAATTTCTGCGAGGCCCACTGAAAAATGGCAAAAAGGTTATTTCGCGGGCTGCACATGGTTTCACGAAAGTCCTGGAATTTCTTCACATCTGATATTGCTACTACTTCTGTTTCTTGAGCTGTTCATATAGTGAAATATTGGGTGTGAAGCAAGTTAGAATATTGAAGATTGAGTGCTAATCGACTCGAATATTTTTAGAATACCTCCAGGCCAAATTATAGAGTGAAGTTGCAGAGAATTATTAAGCATATCTTAATGAGATAAGAGCATAAAAGCATTCCTTTTGCAGAACTAACTAGAAGCGCTACGCTGAACCGCTTTTGCTGCGCCATACTGCTCCAAAACACATTATTGCGTTTGAACTGCTCCCACGCAGTCCTTTGTGCCTTCATGTGCAGTAATCTGCTACGTGGCGTATTCAAGCGAGCTTCTATCATGATCATGGCCTGTCGCGCTCTGCGGGACGCTGCTGGCGTTGCGAAAAAATTTTGGCAGAAGGGCAGAGCAGTGAATGCCATACAGTGAAACCTTGTTAATACATACCTGTTGGGAATGCGGCTTAGCTATATGCACTAACTGTAGTACACATTAACCACTAAGTACAAATTAGCATCTCCTGACTTGCGCCATTGCCACCAAGAAAGAATTGAGTACAGTGGCATTGCGCATATGGCCTAGTGTGCTCACCAAAAAGCTATTTCTTTCTTTTTGCCTAAGAGCAGGAAAGGTCTTGGCACGACAGTCCAATAGCTTGTGGTGGGGACGCCAAGGAGCATTTCAAACTACTGTGGCGTTCGAGATACGCAGCAACTAACAAAGCCAGAACGGACATAATCGGCTGTTCGCGATACATGGGCACCGTGATCTACTTGCTAAGTGAAAATTGGTAGTGTTTATGGTCACAGGGAGTCATTCGTCACTGGTTAGTAGTTGCGTACATCACTTCAGCTACCCGACGCACAGAATTCTTTTTTTTCTTCAGAATTTGCATATTGTAGCCTGTTGGGTTAACGCAGTGATGATGGGCATTCTGGAAGCGATGCGTGGTCTGTGATCTCTAACAGTCCTTACAGCAGACAGAGGCGCGCTACGGCTGTCGCCTAATAAAAGCATGCAGTGTGGTGGTATGCTTGCAGCAGCGCTGCGGTTGCTGTGCCGTACAAGTTTGCTTAGTGTGACAGCAACAATACAATGACCTTTCTCTGGGCCCGCAATACCCAACCCTGCAATAAATAGTGAGCTGCTCTTGTTTCTGAAAATGCAGAGCGTGCTCGATTATGGTCTCGCACAAAGAGGCGGTAGCGATTGGTGGTCCAACATGTTCAGGTAGTCTCGCGGAAAAATCATATTTTTGGACTCTACAGTTACTGATGCGTAATCTGGCAAATTGTCACGCGTCTTCGATTCAGGGTGCGTGCAAGTCCTTAAAAGTCTGGCTTTTTTTTTTTTTTCCTGTTGATATCCTTGAATTTCCTGAGCAGTGCACTCTCGTCAATATATTGACATTGCGGCCTTCTGAACACGGTGGATCGACGTGCCAGCCTGTCAAGCTCCCCATTTGAAGAGCAGTTATGCAGTGTGGGCGCACGTGGTTCTGTTTTGCAGAACTTTACGTGGGAAAAAAAATTCAGTTTTGTGGCGAGGGCAAAGCAGTGAAAGTGATAGCAACAACGTTACACAAACAACAGCGAGCAACTCGGTACATACAGTGCTTCACTTAGGCACGAAGGACGCACGAAAATAACACGCATGGGATGAACGCTAACAAACTGTCACTGCTCGACGCTTGCAGCATGCTGCTTAAGGGGGGACATGGGTCTTGGGGCTCTCTCATTAATTTTATGAACCAAATGTGACAAACGTTGGCATGCTTACTTAGTTTGTTCTCATGATTCTAAAAATGTAGTGATTTTTTCTGTAACTTCATTGGTAAATAAATAACCAAGATAATTTCTATTGTTCTTACCACAATGGAAAAATAACCACCTGTCAAAAATTTATAAATGACATAGGGATTGACAGTAGAAAGCATGAGCCATACAATATAGGAAGAACGTTTTTGATTGGGGCATTATTTCTTACTTTACACTAAACTTCACAGCTCTGAATGTGGCCATTGTGTGGTCACACAAAAGACTAGTTTAAAGAACTTGCATCAAGATAAATCAAAATGTGCTTCCTATGTTGTATGCTTCAAACATATAGCTTCATGCTGCAAAAAAAAAAAAAAAAAATTCTGCTATCTGTAATGGTTTCCGATATATTGCAGTAATTTTCATGCAGGGTGTCCAAAATTTCCATTTTGAAAAAGAATGAAGAAAAGATAGAATTTTAACATTTTTAACTGTAAAAATGTATGTAGTTAGAATTACATGGCCGTTGACATATAAATGAATGCTAGAAAGCCTAAGGAGTGCAACGCTGCAAGCTGATAGAAAATTGAACGAGTACTTCTCGAATTACAGCACAGTTCATTGCATTGCATTACAGCACAGTTCATTGCATGTAACCAAATACAGAACTTTTTATATTAAAATAAAAAAAATGAAGCTGCCCATTAAAAATAGGCTTCCAGCATTGTTTTCTGTGCACATTTAGCTACATTGTGCAAAAACAATTAGAGCTCTAGCTGTCCTAGGTCCACTTTTACCGAACAAGCAAAAGAAAGTGGTCAAAATCTGTGCTTCAAGAATAATGCTGTTAAAACTTTATTTCGCCGTTCCGAGGGAAAAAAATATCATGGCACACATACTTTTAGTCAGTTAATATGCACCGGGAATGTAATAGGACTGATTGTTTGCACGAGCGTGTAGTTTCTTCTAGTCCTGTAGCAAGTTGTCGCCGTGTGCTCGTCTGCCACGAGGCCGCTTATCAGTTCGGTAACTTTACTGACAGCGACGTGCTACAAATGTGCGTGCGTCATCTGCGATACTTCGAATAACACGGCGATCTTTTCCGGCTTGTCCAGAATGAGTTACCCGTAAAGGTCGCGAACCAAAGTTGCTCCCTCACTCATCAATTTCGAGGCTACGCGAGTGCCGAGGTGCTAGTTTCCTTCTCACGTAAGACTGCCTCATTTTCGAGCGGAGATCGCGACAACGTTGCGAACGCGTCGTTAAAAGCAATCTACCAGTTGCCAGTAGCCTCTATTGCGGAGGCGGCGAGCATTTTCACCGCGAACGGGTTGACTTTCTGTTGTTCGTCGACGCGCGGCGTACTCCACTCTGACTACCCGTTGCGCAGTTCAAGGTCCTTTCGTCCGGCGGGGGGAACCGCGGCACTTCCGTTCCGTCTCTACAAAGATTGATATCTCTTGTAGCTTCACTTCTGTTTTTTACTTGCCGTCCTCTAACTGATGAGGCTGCAAAACACAGCTGTTCTCAGTAACGTTGTCGGCAACCAACGGGCTCGTACGTGAGTTAGGCCTACATCGGTGACTCGGCGACTGCCGTTGACCGCGTCGAGTTCGTTACCCACGTTGTCCTGAGCCATAGCGGGGCTCTTTCTGAAGTTCACAGCAAACGAACGACTGGCACACCCGCTTCAGAAATTACTGTAGCGCGGAACTTCTTTACTGCCGCAGGCACTCAGTAGCACCATGACAAAATGGTGCATGTCAGTGCGCGTCACGATGGTGAAGCAGATGCCGAAAGCGCCCCATGGCCAATCGGATTCCCAGGTTTTGTGACGTGCCCCAAGCAGCCAATCGAATCGCGCGCTAGTGCTTCTCGATGACACGTTTTTGCTAAAAAACCAATGAGCAAGGCGAGCCAGCGGTGGCGGGAAATTGAAGATGAAGAACTACCATTCCAAATGAGACCAAGATGAACACGATAGCTCGTGTGTAACGGCAACAGTTCGGCGCGGAAAAACCGCAATTTTAGCGTCAGTTTGCGCTCACATTCATCTCACAGGGATGTTATAAATTGATGTGCCAGAAATAATGACGCGAAAAGCTAGAAACTTCTCAGGTGCAAAAATAGGTACAGATTCTGAAAATGTCAGCTTCAAAAAGTCGATTTTTTTTAGATTTTTGACCTTCTAAGACCTGTGTCCCCCCGGGACACGGGTCTTTGGAGCCGAAAAATCGCCAAAAAAGCAATTTTTTGTAAACAGCATTTTCAGAAACTACAGGTATTTTTTTACAGGTGTACTGACTTTCATATCTCTCCGATCAATATTTTAGCTGTAATATTAAATTCCTAGCCCGTGCGCGTGCGGAATTCGCGCAGCTCCGGACACCAAAAACCAGTTTTTTATAAATTCGTAACTCCATGTCCACAGCTGCACTCGCAGCCATTTTGGTATCGTTTGAAAGAGCAGTTTTTCGCCTTCAAATTCCCGCCACTGTGGCTTCTGTGCGTTCATTGGTTGCGGAGAAAACAACCATCAAAAAAGAGTAAAAACGCATGCTACGATTGGTTGTTTAGTGCACGTGACCGTTTCTCAGAGCATGATTGGCTGAAGTCGGCTTGTGGCGTCTGCTCTGGCTGCGTTGTGCGCGCT